CCAGAGTTCTTGTGTACAGAGAGCATAGTTCATTCTCAGCGTCACACAGCTGGTGGCTGACTTCGGACTGAAAAGTCAGTCCATATTTGAAAAAATACGTTGTTCTCTTGTTTAAAAAAAGAATTAAAAAAATAAGCTTGTCGTCTCCTGCTGATTTAGCATCCAAATGAAGGGTTTTCCCCCAGTATTTCCAGAACATTTGTTTGCTCTTGCAAGAAGTCTACCATGCTAGATAAAACAGAAGTCAAATGTCCTGCCCTCTTACTTCCCTTTTAAGTCAGTTCCTGTCAAAAGAGGCAGGATCCCCTTAGACCTCGGGCTCTGTGCAGGTCAGCAGACAAAGACCGACTCATTTGCTTGGTGGTGAGCTCAACGTTTTTGGCTGCTTCCACAGCTTGGCTCAAGGACAGGCTGAGGTCATCCAGGTCAACAAGATCCATTTCAGACAAGCAGCGGTGGCCTGGAATTGGAGTTGGAGTTCGGTGGCTCTGAGACAAAGGTCTCACCTTGGCAGGTTTTTTACCACTGGAGTAATGTAGAGGGGAGGAAGCTGAGGTAGGTGCTACTGGGGAATAGTACCTGGGGGGATGCAAAATAAATAAGTGAATGGTAAAAACCACAAGGACCACATTGTCCATAACTTAAACGATCCCCTTCTGTTGGACCATAAATCTTGGATGAGCCAAATATAATGAAGCATAGAGTGCTTGGATTAGAAATGTCTGTGTTCCTGATCAATGAATAGAATACCCACGAATAGGACACGTTCTATGTTATGTTCTTTAGTTAGAAGGGCTCAGACAAAAGGATCAGAAGGCTTAGACCTAGGAAGTGGAAGGGTAATGACCCATTATTAACAATAAACAATAGTGCATTTTTTTGATCTTTTGAAATTGATCATTCATTTCCCATAGAGTCTCTGGACCATTTGGGTTTTTTCCCCTCTTTCTTTTAGATTTGTGCTTAGACTGTTGCTCATTAGCCCCCTACCAGGAGAGCGGAGAGAAGAGGGGACAAAATTCTGATTTCTCAATTTAGACAAATGTAGGATGTGGAAGGAACCTCAGAGATCCTTGAACCTGCAGCCTTGAAGCCACATGTGACCTTCCAGGTCCTCAAGTACAGCCCTTGACTGAATCCAAACTTCACAAACGAATCCCCTTAATAAAAGGACTTGTTCTGTAAAAGTTGGACTCAGACAAAAGGCTGCACCCAAGGACCTAGAGCGCCATATATGACCTCAAGGCCAGAGGTTTCCCACCCTTGCTCTAGTCCAGCATGTTCGTTGGCATGGCAGGAAATAGATTCAGAAAGAAGAAAGGACTTGCCAAGGTCATAGATATGGCATAGTAGAGTCAAACCAAGGTCTTTTAACCCAGTCAGCCAGTAAGTCAAGTCATTCAGTCAGTCAGTCAGGTAGTGCCAGAATATTAGAGCTAGAAGGAACCATGGAAACCATGAAGTACAATTTAACAAAGGAAAAAACCAGAAGCTTAAGGAGGGTAGTTAGTGTGGACTAGCTCTCAGGCATCCTCTCCAATATCCTTTTGAGAACCACATATTTTTTTTTTTTTTAGTGAGAGCCACATTATTACTGTTTCTCCAATTTAATCAAATAGTCAGTAGAAAAGAAAGTAGGTTGTGTGGGGGAATGGTGGCAAAGGTTCTTCATGACTTTTATCTGGCCCTGATTTTTCGATGATCTAGCGTGGGGCCTTGAATACAGTAGATGAATGATTAGGGAAAGGCAGCATGGTACAGTGCCTCAGTGTCGGGAAGACCTGAATTCATGTCCTGCCTCTGACACATACTGGCTGTGTAATCTTGGTTAAGCAACTTAACCTCCCTGAGTCTCAGTTTCCTCATCTGTAAAATGGGGTTGGGCCAGGTGTGGTAGACCACACCTGTAATCCCTTACTGCTGGGCTAGGCTGAGGCTGGTGGATTGCTTGAGCACAGGAGTTCTGAGATGCCAATTAAGTGTTTGCACTAAGCCTGACTCCAATATGCTGAGCCCCCGGGGAAGGGTAGGGGAGGGCTCCCAGGCTGCCTAAGATGGAGCAATTGTGAATTCATCTATGAAATGGAGATAATAATAGCACCTGTCAGGGTTATTGACACGTGATGAGGTGAGCCGATACTTGCAAATCACTCTGCAAACCTTAAAGTGCAATATAAATGCTGACTATTAAAAATATATATGTATATTTGTATATATATTTGGATGACTATTTCAATATAATTAATTTCTTTTACAACCTTATGTATTTTATCTTATGAATTAAAAATAAGTCTTCTGAGGAGTCCATAGGCTTCACCAGACTATTGAAGGAGTCTAAGATACAAAAAAAAGGTTAAGAACCCCTAGCCAATGTGCTACTGTCTGATCTCCCTCTTCAAAATTACTTCGTGTGTGTGTGTGTTTATGTATATGTATAACATATACATGTCCACACACACACACACACACATATACATATATATATATACACATATATATATATACACACACATATATATATATATATATATATATCTGTTGTTCTTCAGGTCATTTCAGTCATGTTCAAGTCTTTGAGTATTCCTTTGAGGTTTTCTTGGCAAAGATACTACAGTAGTTCCTTCTCCAGCTCATTTTACAGACGAGGAAACTGAGCAAACAGGGTTAAGTGACTTGCCCAGGGTCACACAGCTAGTAAACACCTGAGGCTGGATTTGAACTCAGGTCTTCCCGCTTCCAGGTCAACTGAACAACATCTCTGTATGACCTTGGTTAAGTCACTTAACTTCCCTAGGCCTCAGATTTTCCATCTCTAAAATGTAGCAAGAATATAGAAAGTACCAGCTACAAATATTGCTTCTTTTGCCATGCTACACTGCTTTTTTTTGTTTGTTTCTGACTTTTGTTTTGCTTTCCCGACTGGGATTTCCTATCTCATGCAGGTTGAAGTCTGGGTGCAGGGACCACATATGGGCCCAAACTGATGATGCCCTGGAGCCAGACGGTAAGAGAGTCAATTACTGTCTTCAGTGTCAGCATTTACACCTTAGAAATCAGCAAACCCTCCCTACAAAGCAGGATTTGATTTATCATTTTGTTGATTGTCTAGGCTTAAGAAAGCAATGCAGAAAATATTAACAATGCAGATTTAAAAATCTGTTGTGTGTGAATTTTTTAAAAGAGAGCCAGTTGTGAAACATTTACTAGGACACTGTTGGTCTGAGCACACAGTTGATCACACAGAAACTAGGACCAGCTGCTCTGGGTCCTACTTGGTTCAGTTCAGACATCTCCAGGCTGCCTCTTTAGATGGCTGCCTGACTCCTAAGGAGAATGAGCTGATTTTCGCCTTACTGCAGCTCAGAACTCCTGAGCACAAGTGGTCCATGAGCCTTAGCCTTCCCCATGGCAAGCATTATCAGTGTGGGTCATCACATCTAGTCATTCTGCATTCTGAATGGAGTTGGAATTTATGTCATAGCTAGGTCTGGATTAATGAAAATAACATATCCCCTGAAATGACTGGCATTATTTGGATTTTCATTGCCTACTTCCATTGGGCCAAGAACAATTAATTACTCATTTTTTTTATATAATTTCATATAACTTTGAATAGTGTAAACTTAAATCATGTGACCACTTCACAGGGTTCACTGTTTGCACTAATGAGGACCTTGCTGTATGTTACATGTAGAAAAGAAGACAAAGGCATTATTGCTATCTACTCAGTAGGCCCTGCCTGAGCCTAGCAAAATTGCTAGGACATAAGAGTCCATATTCATCAGGAAGGAGAAGAGAATGGTTCTTACAATGTGGAGGGTGAATAAGGCACAACAGGAACCGGTGGGACATAAGCGAAGGTTGCCCCCGCTGGAGCTGGGAGTGGGGGTGCTAGATACCACACTCCAGGAGGATGAGGAAGCGATGGCGACGTCGACTGCTGCTGACGTTGCTCAGATTTCCGAGCGGGGCCAGAACTTAGAGGTGCTCCCTTCTGTGTGCCCTTGTCTATCCCTGTGGGGAGGATAAGCACCAAAGACAGTTGAGCATTACCTTGCCATGAGAAGAAGGATAGGAGACGTGGAGATACCTGCATCAGGTGGGAGATGGGATTATTTCACCTCTAGGACATCTGCCTTCTTGACTGAGATTCTAGGGTTCTAAGATCCTAAGGCTCTAAGGGTCTTTGACAGATGAACAGCGCAGGCCTCAATTGAATCACCTTAGCAGAAGCACATCAGAACCCTAAGTAGGTGATGTTCAGATGGCTCCTCTTTTGGGCTCCCTCTCTCCCTTTGGGGAACTGGGACTAGAGAGAGAATTGGGGGTGTGGTTAGAGGTTTCTTTCTATGTTCTGCTACTATTCTTCCAGTATCCTCCCAAATCTGCCCATCACCATCCTCCTTCCTCAGCTCTGTTCTGCTGTACCTGTCTTGTCTGAGGGGGTCTGGGTCAACAATAGTTGAGGAAATAGAGGGTGACAGAATGTGGGTGAAAGACAGACAAAAAAGAGGCCAGGAGATATGGCTAAATCTTAATGGCACAGCTGATACAACTTAGAAACAGAGGCTTTTGTAGACCTCTGAACTCTTTCATGATTCTTATCTGATCTGGCCCCAGGAAAGATGACACTGGAGATCTTAGGGCTATACAAAAATCTCTAATGCCTCCTGTTGTCAGAGGATGGAACTGTGGTGCTCTAGCGCGAGAATTCCACATACACACACATACACCCCGAATCTAGCTCCTATACGGTGGATAAGACTAACAGCTCTGCCCATGCCTACTTGGTCCATGACTCCTAAGAGAGGAACTCTCAGCTCTTCTCTCCCTTATAACCCAATTTCTGTCCTGTTTTGTATAATAGATGACTAGAGATTGACTTGTCTTTGCTAAAAAGGCTTTTTATGTTATGGAAACACAGACAAGAACCTCAAATTCAAGGTGACTTTAACATTTTTAGGAGGGGGGAGTAAGGAATCAATTTCTGTCCTACCAGAGGGTTCCTTGTCCCTCTCTGTGGGATTCCTGGGTCTGTGACACATTGGACACTGGGTCTTCTTCATGCTGTCACTAGGAAAAAGTTCCTCTGGATCCTTGCTGAGAGTGTTGTCTAAAAAAATGAAAAGCAATCATTAAAGGAGCCCATGGGTCCTTGATTTACTCTCATTGAGCTCAATATGGGCAAAAGAATTGTGTCCAAAAAAAAAATCCCTCCTTCTGTCCTCTCCTGGCTCAGAGTTGGGGTTAGTTCTAAGGCCATGTTAGGCAAAGGATGTAGTATGTTCTTGGCACCTAAAGATGTCTTGGGGGTGGAGGGTAGCAAGGTTGGTGGAAGAGACAGGACAATTAGTTTGTGCTTCAGTGGGAGTTTCTTAGTGACCTTGGCACTAAATGTTCATGGTTTCTCCATTTCATGGTTAATGGAGGCAGTTTCAGACAGAAACATCTATGAAGGAAACATTGTCCAATGAGGCATGCATACTGCACATCTGATAGAATATAAGCTTCTTGAGTGTGAGAAGTTTAATCTTTGTTAATTTTGTTAATTTACCCTCCCCCCCACCCCCTACCCCCACCCCCAGCACACAGCACTGTGCCTGGCAAACAACAGTTGCTTGAAATAATACTTTGTTGAGTGAATGATTAATTGCCCAGATCCCTAGGATAAGAGCTCCAACACTACTAATATGTATTTCTTACTAATACAGAGAGCTCCTGGAAGTCAAAGTTAACTCTGCAGGCTGGCCTGGCCTGGGCTTATCCTGGGTAGACCCCAGGAATGGTCGTTACCTGGAAGTTTCTTCCTCAATGAGTGACAGCGGGGGCAGGAATGAGAATTATTGTCTGCCTGGAAGCGCTGGGAAGATTTGACAGAATATTCGTGACCTAGGGATACAAACCAAAAATGGTAACTGTTTGCCACACCATGGAAATGGATGCAGATCTAGAAATCAAAAGCTCATGATGAAATCATGTTATCACCAGTGATATGAGCCCTAAGTATGGAACAAGCTTGTCACCTGTTGGTTATTGGTCAATCTGGCACTTATCTTAAAATATAGAATCAAGTTGCCAGACCTGGGTCCCTGTGGTTCTGGTTTGGTTTAGAATGGCCCTATTGCAGGGTCCTAAGCCCACTGGATCATAGATTTAGAACCGTAAAAAGTACCTTTGAGAACATTCAGGACATTGAAACTCTGAGCCATTAAGGTCCAAGGTCATAGTTGGGATTCAAACCTTGATCCTTTAACTCCAAACCCTTCCACTTTACCACCACACTATCTCATGATACAGGGAACTTTCTCCCTGAATGAACATTCCTCCTTGGGTTTGCCTCAGTTTCTCAAAGTCTTCTACTTGTTTATATTTTCCTGAAAGTCAGGAGTCACATAGAAGGAAAAGGGGAAGGAACAGCAGAGAATAAATAAAGATTTTCTTTTGTGCCACAACCTGAAGCTATGTGAGAGCCAAGGTCATGGAGCAGAAGTGTTCAATGTGAGATGTCCCCAGGTATTCCAGCATTCCAGTGGGCCTTCTAGCCTTCTTTCCTTCCTTTCATTTATAAAATAAGTTTTATTGATGCCTTTTGCTTTCATGTCAGTCATTTCTGGATACCAACCTCTCCCTCAAACTGAATTGAAACCTCCCTTATTATAATGAAAAACAATCAAGCAAAAGTAACAACCTCTAAACATAGTTCCTTGCCCCTGTGCTAAGAGGAGGGGTGGGGTGGGGTTGGGCAGGGGGTTCTTTATCTGTTTTCTCTGACCAAGACAGGTAGGACACAAATTTAATGACACATTATAATCATTTTTGTTGCATTCTATTGATATGTAAATTGTAATTCACATAAGCAACCATAATTAATATTTTTGATACAGTTTAATGAGTGTTTTTAGTTTTTTTCTTATTTTCTTATTAGTTCTTTAGTATCTATGATCAACAACATTAATTATTTTCACTGATAACACATACCATTTACATATTTTCTCCTCCCTTATAAGATCTTTCTAATACTTTACCTAGACTGGCCCCAAGGCCAGTGAATCAGGCTTCAGCATGTGGGATCATTTGAAATGAAGAAGATCTTGGAATACCTTCCCACCTCAGTATAATGGCTCCTTTTTTCTCTCACCTGTGTAGAGGCCCCGAAAGTAGACTGTGTCTGTTTGCTTCCCTTTGGTTCCTCCTTTTATTCTGTCTGAGGGGCTCTGCTCCTCACCTCTGCTCTCCTCAGCCTGGATCCTGGATATAGATTGTTCTGACTCTGAAGCTGGAATGGCTAGAGTCCAAAAGAACCAGAAGAAATCATCAGAGGTGTGGATAGCAAAACTCTCTCACAGAAACATCACACTGACTTCACTAGAACTCTGGCTTACCACCAGGTAAGCTGCCAGGCCCATGTGGCCTCCAGAATAGCCAGTCACCCTTCAACCCACCCCCTTAGTGCAACACCAGACATGAAGGTCCCCCATGGGCTTCAAGGCAACACCAGTGCAGCACCAGGTAAACAGCCAGGGCCTGCAGCCCCTGACACAAGAAGCCTGAGACAGTGCCCCTTTGACCCTGGGAGCAGAGATCAAATTTAAAAGAAAGGAAAAAGGTCACAAAAGATGATCAAAAAACAACTGAAAAAATCTGACCATGGAAAATTATTATGGTGACAGGGAAGATCAAGACACAAACTCAGAAGAGGACAGCAATGTCAAAACACTTGTGGGCAAAACACCTGTTTTTCCCAAACAAAAATGGGAAGTGGTCTCAGGCCCAGAAAGAACTCATGGAAGAGCGCAAAGGGAGTTTAAAATCATATAAAAGAGGTAGAAGGAAAATTGGGAAAATAAATGAGAGTGATGCAAGAGAATTATGAAAAAAGAGTCAATAGCTTGGAAAAAGAAAACAACTCCTTTAAAAGTACACAATTGGCCAAATGGAAAAGGAAGTACAAAAGCTAACTGAGGAAAACAACTTCTTAAAAGTTAGAATCGGGCAAGTGGAAGCTAATAACTCAATGATACATCAAGAATCAATTGAACAAATTCAAAAGAATGAAAAAATAGAAGGAAATGTAAAATATCTCATTAGAAAAACAATGGATCTGAAAAATAGATTCAGGAGAGACAATGTCAGAATCATTGGACTACCTGAAAGTCATATTCAAAAGGAGGACCTGGACAGCATCTTTCAAAGAATTATCAAGGAAAACTGCTCTGATATCCTGGAACCAGAGGGCAAAATCAGCATTGAAAGAATCCACCAATCACCTCAGGAAAGAGATACCAAAATAAAAACTCCAAGGAACATTATAGCCGAATTTCAGAACTATCAGGTCAAGGAAGAATATTTCAAGTGGCCAGAAAGAAACAATTTAAATATCAGGGAGCCACAATCAGGATTACACAGGACTTAGCAGCTGCAACATTAAAGAATCAGAGATCATGGAACAGGATATTCTTGAAGGCAAAGGAGCAACAACTACAACCAAGAATCACCTACCCAGTGAAATTAAGCATAATACTTCAAGAGAAAATTCAATGGAGCTGAACTATTTACATCCCTACATGGGAAAATGATACTTGTAATTCTTAAGGGAAAAGAAGGTCATTCAATGAAATAGAAGGTTTTCAAGCTTTCATAAGGAGAAGACCAGACTTGAACAAAAAATTGATCTCCAATATCAAGACCCAAGAGAAGCCTAAAAAGATTCCTCCTTCTGTCCTCTCCTGGCTCAGTATTGGGGTTAGTTCTAAGGCCATGTTAGGCAAAGGATGTAGTATGTTCTTGGCACCTAAAGATGTCTAGGGAGTGGAGGGTAGCAAGATTGGTAGAAGAGAAAGGACAATTAGTTTGTGCTTCAGTGGGAGTTTCTTAGTGACCTTGGCACTAAATGTTCATGGTTTCTCCATTTCATGGTGAATGGAGGCAATTTCAGACAGAAACATCTATGGAGGAAACACTGTCCAATGAGGCATGCATTCTGCCCATGTGATAGAATACTAGCAAGGTGATTACAGCAACATACCACAAAGATTATACACCATGACTAGGTGGGATTTATACCAGGGATGTAGGGCTGGTTCAATATTTTAAAAAAACTATCAACATAATTGACCATATCAATTAAAAAACCCAACAAATTATATGATTTTCTCAACAGATACAGAAAAAGCTTTCGACAAAATACAGCACCCATTCCTATTAAAAAACACTAGTGAGCACAGGGATTAAGGGAGCATTCCTTAAAATGATAAGCAGTATCTATCTAAAACCATCAATAAACATTATCTGTAATGGAGATACACTAGAAGCCTTCCCAATAAGATCAGGGGTGAAGTAAGGATGCCCATTATCATCACTATTGCTCAATATAATACTAGAAACATTAGCTATAGCAATAAGAGAAAAAAAAGAAATAGAAGGAATTAGACTAGGCAATGAGGAAGTAAAACTATCACTCTTTGCAGATGATATGATGGTATACTTAGAGAACTCTAGAGAATCAACTAAAAAATTACTTGAAATAATTCACAACTTTAGCAAAGTTGGAGGATATAAGATAAGCCTAAATAAATCATCAGCATTTCTTTATATAACCAACAAAGCCCAGCAACAAGGGATAGAGAGAGAAATTCCATTTAAAATAAATGTAAACAATATAAAATACTTGGGAGTCTACCTGCCCAGACAAACCCAGGAACTACATAAACACAATTAAAAAACGCTTTTCACACAAATAAAGTCAGATCTAAACAACTGTAAAAATATCAATTGCTCATGAGTATGAGGGGCCAATATAATAAAAATAACAATTCTACCTAAGTTAGTTTACTTATTCAATGCCATACCAATCAAACTACCAAAAAATTATTTGATAGAACTAGGAAAAAATAACAACAACATTCATCTGGAAGAACAAAAGGTCAAGAATATCAAGGGAATTAATAAAAAAAACACAAAGGAAGGTATAGCAATACCTGATCTCAAACTATATGATAAAGTGGTAATCATCAAAACTATCTGGTACTGGCTAAGAAATAGAGTGGTGGATTAGTGGAATAGATTAGGTACACAAGATGCAGTAATAAATGACCGTAGTAACCTAGTGTTTGATAAACCCAAAGACCCCAACCTTTTGGATATGAACTCACTATTTGACAAAAACTGCTGGGAAAACTGGAAAATAATAGGACACAAACTGGGTATAGACCAACACCTCACACCAAATACCAAGATAAGGTCAAAATGGGTACATGATTTAGACATAAAGGATGACACCATAAACAAATTAAAAGAGCAAGGAATAGTCTACCTGTCAGATCTATAGATAAGGGAAGAATTAATGGCCAAACAAGAGATAGAGAGCACTGCAAAATATAAAATAAATAATCTTGAGTATATTAAATTAAAAAGCTTTTGCACAAACAAAATCAATGCAACCAAGATTAGAAGTAAAGCAGAAAGCTAGGAAACAATCTTTATATCAAACGTCTTTGATAAAGCCCTCATTTCTCAAATATATAAAGAACTGAGTCAAATTTATAAGAAAACAGGTCACTCCCCAATTGACAAATGGTCAAAGGATATGAACAGGCAGTTTTCAGATGAAAAAATCAAAGCTATCTGTAGGCACATGAAGAAGTGCTCTAAATCACTTTTGATTAGAGAAATACAAATTGAAACAACTCTGAGGCACCACCTCACATCTATCAGATTGGCTAATATGACAAAAAAGGAAAATGATAAATGATGGAGAGGATGTGGGAAAATTGGGACACTAAAGCACTATTGGTGTAGTTGTAAACTTATCCCACCATTCTGGAGAGCAATTTGGAACTATATTCAAAGGGCAACCAAATTGTGTATACTCTTTGATCCAGCAAAACCACTACTAGGTCTGTATCCCAAAGAGATCACAGAAGAGGGAAAAGGACTAACATGTGCAAAAATATTTATAGCAGCCCTTTTCACAGTGGCAAAATATTGGAAATTGATGTGGAATTTCTGAACAAATTGAGGTATATTATTGTGATGGAATACTATTGTGCTATGAGAAATGATGAGCAAGATGGTTTTAGAAAAACCTGGAGAGACCTATGTGAACTGATTCAAAGTGAAGTGAGCGGAACCAGGAAAACATTGTACACAGTATCAGCAACATTGTGTTATAACTTAGCTCCTCTCAGAAACACAATGAACACAAGAAACAAAAGACTCACAAATGAAAATGCTATCCACATCCAGATAACGAACAGATGGACTCTGAATACAGATCAAAGCATACATTCTTCATTTACTTTATTCATTTTTATGGTTTTTTTTCCTTTTGATCTGTTTCTTCTCTCATAACTGACTAATACAGAAATGTTTTACATGATAGCACATGTATAACCTATATCAAATTGCCTACCATTTTAGGAGGAGGGGAGCAGGAAAACTTGGAACTCAAAATCTTGTAAAAATGAATACTAAAAATTTTCTTGACATGTAACTGGGAAAATTACTTGGAAATAAAAAAAAAAAGCCATAGCTCCCAAAGAAAATTGAAAAGGAAGTGTGATGTCTTAGAAAGAGTGGTGAACACAGACTCAGAAGACTTGAGTTCAAGTTCTGACTCCATCACTTTGAACTACGTTATCTTGGATAATTCATACAATCTCTCTAAGCCTCAGTTTACTTATCTGTCAAAATAAGGGTGTGATAGTTATGACACTGCTTGCTTCTCAAGGTTGTTGTAAGAAAAGTGCTTTATAAACTGTACAATGCTCTAGAAATGTTATTATTAATGCTATTACTAATAAAATTACAAACCCCTTGATAGATGCACTTGAGAGATGCAAAATAAAATGCGATGTCTGAAGAAGAGATTGGTGTTGGTCTGCTTCTCATACTTCCTTCTTTACCTAACCTTTCTTTCCATTTTTCCAAATCCCACTATTCCAAACTCTTAAGAGACAGAGAGAGAGAGAGAATATTCCAATGGTACCATGTCTGAGATAGTACCCTGCTATGGAGCTGTTTCACCTTTAGGATGATACATACCTGTGGTTGGCTGGATTAGGAATTGGGACATATTAATATTCTAATTGGACAGCTAGGTAGCTAGGTAGATAGAGCTCCAGGCCTGGAGTCATGAAGACCTGAGTTCAAATCCAGCCTCAGACACTTACTAGCTGTGTGATCCCTGGGCAAGTCACTTAAATGTGTTTGCCTCAGTTTCCTCATCTGTAAAATTATCTGGAAAAGAAAATGGCAAACCACACCAGTATCTTTGCCAAGGAAATACCAAATAGGGTCACTAAGAGTCAGACACAACTGAAATGAATGAACAACGTTTAAATGAAGCTGATATTCAATTTAACAAATGCACTAAGTGCCTATTGCAGACAAGGCATGGAAAGGACAAAGATTCCACATCACCAACTGAAAGTTGAACAGCTCCACCTGAAGGTCCCAAAGGCATCTCAAAATTAACACGTCCAAAGCATATTCCTACGTGCACAAACATACCCACACACTCACACATTCACCTCTCCTCCTAACATCCCTGTTTCTGTGGAGGGCACCACCAGCCTTCTAGGCACCCAGAGTAGAAACCGTGGACTCTTCCTCATCTCTTCATCCTCACTCCTCATATCTAATTGGTTACTAAGTCTTCCTGATTCTACCTCTGTGACATCTCCTGCATCTATCCCTTCGTCTTCAGTCACCCAGTCATTATCTTAATTCGAGTCCTCTTCATCTCTTGCCAGAACATTATGGCAGCTTTTCATTGTCTTCTCCAACTCTAGGCTCTCTTCTCTCAAATCTATCCTCCATACAACTGTAAAATCAATCATTGTAAAGGACAAGTCTGTCCATGGCACTCTATTGCTCAAGAAACTTCAGTGGCTCCCTTTTGCTTCAAACTCTCATTTGGCATTTAAAGCCTGTCATAATCTAGCTGTGACCCAACTTTCCGGACCAATCTCACATTACTTCCCCTTTATGCCCTTCATTACAGTCAAACCAAATGTCTTCCTCTTCCCTGGTATATGACATTCCATTTCATGCTTCTCTGACTCTTCCCAGGCTGGTTCCCCATGCCTGGAATGCTCTTTCTCTTCACCTCTTACTCACAGAAGCCTGAGCTTCCTTCAAAGCACAACTCAGCAGCCCCTTCCCATAGGAGACATATCCTGTTCCCCACAGTTGCTAGTGCCTATACCACCCCCAACTTCTCTGTATTGACCCTGTACACACTTTGCTCAAACTTATATGGGTACATTTGCTCTCCCCTCCCTCATAGACTGTAAGCTGCTTCTGCCCAGAGACTTTCATTTTTGTCTATATATCCCAGTGTCTAGCACGATGCCTGGCACACAGAAGATACTTAATATATGCTTCCTGAAAAATGCAAAACAACACAGTTCCTACCCTTAAGGAATCAGCATGATATAGAAGAAAAGGCACAGGATTTTGGAGCCACAAGGCCAAGACTCAAATTCTTGTGTCAGTGGGTATGACCGCCTGTGTGACCATGAGTAAATTATTTCTCCTTTCTGGGCCTTGTTTCCTTATCTGTAAAATTCCAAAGATGCACTAGATGGGGTTTTTAAGGTCTCTTCTAGTTCTAAATTCTCTATTCTAATCTAATGGGGGTAGGCAATACAACTTGTATCTAAATAAAAATGATAGAAGGTAGAAGGTGATAGGAGCAAAGGAGAACTATGAGGGAAGAGATTGTTTTTAACTGGGGGAATCAGGGAGGTTTCATGGAGGAAAGGATGCCTGAGCTGGGCCTTAGAGAAAGGAAAGACCTCAATAAATGCTTATGAGAGGAAATTGGGGTAAGCACTTGGGGGCCACTGGACCAATTTGTTTTCATTCTGTTTTGTGGCTACAAATGGTACCTCTGACTCCAGCCAGCATCTAACCAATATGTGCCAAGGTCATGAGAGGGACCAACCATGAAGGTGTTCTCAAATTCTCCACGATTGTAGAAAAACAATTCCAAGGGCTCCTGTCCCCTGCTTGGACAGGAGTATCAGTGCACCTTGCCTCAGGGACCCTCGTTAAGAGGCAACTTGAATGAGTCAGATTTTCCTCCTTCCCAAGTTGTTTCTGGTGGTAAGAAGCTGTATTAGCTCTTTAGAGACAGAACTACATTTAATAAGACTCCAATGAAGGACCGTCTTTGTTGTCCCAATACAGGGATGGGGAACCTGCGGCCTTGAGGCCGCATGTGACCTTCTAGATCCTTAAGTGTGGACTTCTGACTGAATCCAAATTTTACCGAATCCAAATTTTACAGAATTTGTTCTATAAAATTTGGATTCAGTCAAAAGGTTGCACTTAAGGATCTAGAAGTCCACATGTGGCCTTAAGGCTGCAGGTTCCCCAACCCTCTCCCAATACCACACCATTATCACCATCATCAGTGACATTTACACAGCATGCTAAGGTTACACACAAAGTGTTTTCCTCACAACAGTCTTGATGGGTTCATTTCTGAACCTCACTCTTTAAGAAGGACATCTATCAGGGCGACAATATATATGTTCTAAGAAGGACAAACCAGGATGGTGAAGGACAGTGGGCCCATGTCATATAGAGATAGGTTGAAGGAGCTGGAAGATGTTTAGCCTGAGAAAAAAAGGCTCAAGGGGGATATGGTAGCTGTTTTCAAGTATTTGAAGGTCTCTCACGTGGAATAGGGAATTGATTCATTCTGTTTTGCCCCAGAGAACAGAATCAGGAACAATAGGTAGAAGTCAAAGAGGAAAATCCAATTTTGATGTCAGAAAAAGCTTCCAAACAATGAGAGCTATCCTCAAATGGAAGGGCTGCTTCAGAGCTTAGTGGGTTCCTCTTCATTGAAAGTCTTCACATAAAGACCACTTGTCAAGTTTGTTATGGTAGAGATTCCTTTTTGGGCTATGGGTCACTGAGGTTCCTTGAGACTGACTCTCAAGTTCCATGATTCTGAGGTGGGCAGAGAAAATATCATCCCCATTCTACAAAGGTAGAAATAGAAGCTAAGGGAGATGGCATGAAAGCTGTAATTTGGAGTCACATTAAAGAGATGTGAATCCTGGACTCTGCTACCTACTAGGTTTGTGACCTTGGACACAAGGTCCTACCTCTCTGAGCTGCCATTTTCTCACCTGTAAAATGAAGGTGTAGGACTAGATATTGCTTAGGGTCCTTTTTCTAGCTCTCAATCTATAATTTTATGGTGGATTAAGTGAATTGTCCAAGGCCACAAAGCTGGTAAATGTCAAGAGTTGGGGGTTTGAACCCAGTTCTCCTGACTCCCAGGCCAGTGGTCCTTCCACCAACGCCACAAGACAAATCTGCTCGAAGGACCCAGCCCAGTCCTCCAAAGGTAAAGGTGCCTGGGGCTGGAGAAACAGTTTTCTCAGCTCTGTTTCTAATTCAGATACTAACCTTTAGAAAGTCAGCCTCAATGTAGAAATGTTTTAATTGACTTCATATACACATTGAATATCAGATTTCTTGCTTTCTCAATGTGTAAAGAGAAGGATGGAAGAGAATTTAAAACCAAAAATAATTTTAAAAAAAAAACAAAGAAAGGCAGCCTCTTCTAGAGGTCACTTACTTTGGGCTGGTTGGGGCTCTTCCCAGGGCACAGAGGAGGATCTCAGCTGCACCCTTACTGTGCTATTGTTTTGAGTTGTATCTCCACTGTCACTCTGGTATCTCTCTGCAGATTTACTGGTAAAAGGCAAAAAGATGACAATGTCACCTCCTGGGACTTTGCTAAGAAATACAATCTTTTCAAAATGTATTTATTTTTAGTTTTCAATATTCATTTTTATAAGATTTTGAGTTCTAAATTCTCCCCCATCCCCATGATGGCATGCAATCTGATATAGGCTAAACATGTACAATCATATTAAACATAAGAAATACAATCTTTTATAACTGATCTTGGCTATCAAATATTGCAAGGACAGTAGGATCAATAGATGGCGCCCAACCCAAAGGAAAGGGCAGTTTACATACAAACTCATCATCCCCTTCCTAAAAGCTGACAGCCATGTTCCCCTGGGTCCCTTGCTCCTTTGTGACAATAAATCCTCAGATAACTGGGAAGATGCACTCCCTTTTTTAGGTGCCTAGTGCCATGGTGGCAAGGAGACTAATGCTCTCAGTGGAAAAATAGGAAGCTGAACTAACTCAAAGCCTGAGTTCCTCCCCTTTAGTGAGCTGCATCGACAGAGCCACAGGGAACAGAATGAGCGAGGGGACAGCATTGTTCCACCTCTTTATCCTCTGTCCTGATCAGGCCATGTATAGAGTATTGTGATCTGTTCTAGTCACCCTCATCCCTCTGTCCTGGGATGAGGATCTCAAATAGATAATTGTGTTCTGTTCTGGATACCACATCTTAGGGAGGATGCTGCTAAGCTGGAATACATTCAGAGGAGGTCAATGAGGATGCTGAGGTAACTAGAGACCATGTCAAATAAGGACTGGGGGTTAAAAGAACAAGATGTTTAACTTGGGGGAAGACAGGACTAGGGTGGAGTAGAAGATCCTCATGTTGGGAAGGATTGAAGGTAAAAGGAAAAGGAGATGGTAAAAGATGAGATGGATCGATAGTAGCATGGAAACAATAAACATGAACTTGAACAGATGAAGAGACAGTGGAGGATAGAAGAGCTTGGCATGCTATAGTCTGTGGGGTAATGAAGTGTTGGACCCAGATCAACAACAACAACAAGTATTTAAAGGGTTGTGAGTGTGAAAAGGGAATTCGATTTGCTTCAATTGACTCCAGTTTTGGAGCCATATGGGTTCAGTGTTGCTAACAGTAGTGGGTTCACCTTTGCAATGGCCTTTCAAAAGGAACCTAGAGGGCCACTTGTTGGGGATGTGGTAGCTAGCTGTTCAAGCATGGGTCCTATCAGGTGACCTCTGAATCCCCATGTACACACCTGGTGTGGGAACAGCTCCCCAAAGCCAAGGGCTCTTTTGCAAGCCTGCTCTGAGCCCTGGTAGCTTGCTGGAAGTTATGACTCGAGGTGTCCTGAGGTGGGCTGTTCAAGCTGGCCTCTATCCTCTCTCGGAGTCGGGTCACTTCTTGCTGCAGGGCCCGGATAGCTTGGCTGTCATGGAAACAGAGTTAGTGAACAGAGTGCAACGGGGGAAAGCTAAAGTGCTCCTGTGATTATTTTGTGTCGGGTACTAAGGGAGGGCCCGTGTCTGTGGTCCTGACATACCTGTGATTTCTGCGCATCATAGGACCACAGGTTTAGAGCCAGATGAACGTCAGAGGCCATCTTAGTCCAACCTCTCCATTTTATAGATGAGGAAACTGAGGCCCAGAGAATTTAAGTGACTTATCCAACGTCACACAAGTAATAAGTTGAAGAGCTGGGCTTTCAGCTCAGTTCATCTGACCCTTTTCTGCTATACCATAAAGAGAAGAACAGGGAAAGGTCACTGAGAAAAACAGTGGCCATGTATGCAACTTGGCATCTTCCTCAGTGGACTCAGGGTGTTAAACTCGTGGTCTGCTTCTTTTCTCTTTTCTGTTTTCCCCTCACAGGAAAGAACCCACTCCAATCTCTTTAACCAGGGGCAGGGGGAGGGGTCTTCCCTGAGCCCTTCCTAATATACCAACCAATCAATAAGCATTGATGAAGCACTTACTATGAGCCAGATTTTGTGCTGTGAGCACTGGGGATACAAAAGGCAAAAGACAAAAACAAAAATCCCAGACCCAATTCTCAAGGAGCAGACATTCTAACAGAGAGCTACTGGGCATTCTGAACAGTTGGTTTTCCCATGATGCCTCTTTGCCCATCTGAGGGGTACAGGAAGATAATGCAGGTAGGATGAGAATGAAAGGGTCTGGTTGTTATCTGTTTAGTAGAAATCTGACTGTATTTAGATCAGTTAAGGATAATTTTCTGTTGAGACCAATTGGGTGGGGGGGGAATGATAGCCTTTCCCTTGGTCCTTTAGGGATCCTCATAGGTTAGAGGATCATATATCCTCCAGAGGATCACATCACCTCTTTTAATTCCCTCATTTTACAGATGAAGAAAGTGAAGCTGAGAGGAGCATGAGTAATTTACCTAAGGTCACACATGGTATGGTAAGTGGCAGAGTCAGGATTCAAACCCAGTTTTTGATTCCAAATCCTGGGGCTTTTTCCGTGACACCTTGCTGCTTCCACATAGATATCACAAGTGCCAGAAGGAGTGGGAAAGGAGAGTTGTTTTCAACATCCTCCCCTGGACGATGGAGGAGGAATTCATCATAAGTGTTTGCTATCCCCACCAACAGAACTGGAGAGACCAGTGGGCTGGTGCAAAACATGAGCAGTCTGACGAGAATAACAAAGGCTGCTCACGAGGCTGGTAGAATGTGGACAAAATGCCCCAATGACTACAACATCCCTGCCTGCAAGGTCATCTTAATTCACCAGCTCCCTTTTTCCCATCTCCTCCTCTCCCCAGAGTCTGAATTGAAATAGTGTTTAGTTTTCTATTATAGGGGTAGCATAGGACATTGGACCGGTAGTCACAAAACCTGGATTCTAATCTGTAACTTTGCCACTAGCTTGTTCTGTGACCTCAGGAAAGGAGTTTTCACTATCTGTACCTCCAATTCTTTATCTTTTAAAATGGGGTTGGAGTGGAGCTATAAAAAACTGAAACAGACTTAAGGACCTAAGGGATCATGTAGTCCAATCACTTTATGCTACAGATGAAAAAAGTGAGGACACAGAGGTGAAGCAAGAGTCCATCAAGCAAGTTGGCAAGAGTCAGGATTTGAATCCTGGTCCTTTGAGCCTTCAAATCTGAGTTTTCTTCTCACTACACCAGATGCTATGTTCCTTCTAAATCAGATTCATTTGCTAAGAACAGAAACTTGGGCCCTCTTCTTAAGTGGGTTCCCCGCCCCCATGAGCACAGTACTCATACACACAAGGCAGAGGAATCCAGGATCTTTGGAACTGCCATGGCCATCTTCCTGAGCAATACAGATCCTCTAAACTCCCTGACTCAGCCAGGTTCCTGAGAGATTACAGTCCCCCTAACACCAGGTCAGCTCTTCTCCCAATATGGTAGCTCCTGATGCTTCTTTTCAGACCAAAAGAACGGGGAGGAGAGGCCTTAGAGGCCTGTGCATCTCCTGGCTCCACCGCCTTGGAGGAGTCAGAGTTTAGAATCTGCTAGGAGCAACATGTGTCTAAAGCACCAGTTCCCTAGCAATCCCCATGGAGACATTTGTTAAGGCTACATAATCAGGAGATGTATAATGGGAACACGTGTGGGCTGGGGACAGCATTCCAGCCAATCACCACTGGCTGGGCAGGAGCTCTGGGGCAGCTCAGAGCGTCTGGCTTTTTGCTTCTCAGGGTCACTGACAGGGGAAAGGATCTGGGTCAGTCAGGGAGATAAAAGAGAATTAGGCCCCAGGTTTAGATTGGCCTGGCTTGTTAACCCTCTAATTCATGGGCTGTTGGACTCCCAGTTCATTACTCCAAGGATGGCAGCAAATGCTGCTGGGGGTGAACGCTTTAGACTCTGGGTCTCTTTGTCTAGTCGCTCCCCACACAGGAGCTCATCCTGGGAAGGATAATAATAACAGCTAGTATTTATAGAGTGCTTTAAGGTTTGCAAAGTACTTTACATATATTATCTCATTTAATCCTTACAACAACCTTGTGAGGTAGGTGCTGTTATTATCCCCATTTTACAGATGGGGAAACTGAGGCAAACAGTGGTTAAGTGACTTGCCCAGAATCACACCCAGCTAGTAAGTGTCTGAGGCAGGATTTGAACTAAGGTCGCCCTGCCTCCATGTTCAGAACTCTATCCACTGCACCACCTAGCTGCCTCTGAACGCCTCCGTTCATCTGTGAACTATATCTTTCCATGCTCTTCTGTCTTGATTCTGAGGAATTCCTAATGGTTTGTGTGTGTGTGTGTGTGTGTGCATGTGCGTTTATATGTATGTCATGGATCCCTTTGGCAATCTGGTGAAGCCTATGGACCCCCTCTCAAAAGAATGTTTTTAAATGTGTAAAATACATAAGAGTTATAAAGGAAATCAATTATATTGAAACATAATGATCAATATATTGAGGGGGAAAAAAAGTCCACAGGTCCCAAGTTAAGAATCCCTGGTAGAGAAGAAGGCACTGGAAGAGGTAACATCAGAGGCCCTTTCAGCTCTAACTTTGGGGTAGGCCCTAGGTCCAACTTTGCCTCTGTCACTTACTTCCCAGCTGTGTGACCTTAGGCAAATTACTCACCCCCTCTGAGCCTCAGTTTCCTTAGCTTCAAGATGAGGCAGTCAGAGTAGCTGGGCTCTGAGGTCTTTTCTCTGTTCAACATTCTGTGATCTATGATCTAATAAGAGGGTCTCAAGAATAGAAGGATCAACAGGTGGTTCATGGAGGAACATGTTTGTCTATCCTGATAGCTACATCCCAACAGCCCAGAGAAATGTATGCCACTCGCCAAAAGCAGATAAAATGGAAACCAACAGAACACATTTAAAACTACTGCTTATCTGAGATTTCTCAGCAGAAAGACAGTATTTGGCTAAGAACACAGCAGAGATTCTCACATAGTACGATTGGGAGAAAAAGGCAGTCAAACAACGTTTTCTTTTCCAGCCAAGGCATTCCCTCTAGGATAAGGGTAGTAACAGGGAATCTCAGTATCTGGAAAGCTGCACACCCTGAACCACTTCTCCTGAAAAATAAGAAGCATGAATTCAAGGCAGTGATGCCTAACTTTAAAAACCATTGAACTGGGACTCCTGAAATCTTCTACTCACTTCCTTGTGTGACCCTGGGCAAGGTCACTTTAGTTCTCTGGGCCTCAGTTTCCCTATCTATAAAATGGGCATCCTGGACTAGATGACCTTTAGTCACCTTGCCTGCTCTACAACTTTATCACTTAAATGGTCGAGCAGGACTCACTCTCTCACTTCCCGGGAGATGAGGTTGCTGAGTGGGTGCTGTGCTGCCTCTTGAGGAGTTTCATCAGAAGGGGTGGCAGCAGGAGACTGGTCATCTTCTCTGCCGTGGGAATGCTGTTCACGGGCCCTATCATGGCCCTCACCGTCCAAGTGAGCTGATAAGGAACAGATACCAGGAGAGACAAGAAAGGAATTGGGTAAGGTTGCAAATTAGTCTCGGGCAAGTTACTAATCTGAGAGTCAAAAAATCTGCATGCCTGTAGATTTGAGGTCACTGTTTTGGGGAAAGGACACAGATTGGGACATGCTCCATCAGATCCTCTTGAACTAATTACCAGAGGGAGCCCAGCAATGGCCCAGCCTCCAAGGACGTGGGCTACAGGGAATATATTAATTCTCTCCTCCCTACCCCCACCCCTGCCTCAGGACCTTGTAATTGGGCAGTGCTATGAAGCTAAACTGTCACCCAAAAATTTCTTACATGCCATGTCCACTCACCCATTTTTGTACCTGGTCCCATTTTGTGGTGGAAGCTTTTTGTCCACTTCTTTGGGGGAGTGATAGGCATTGGGTCCGACCTCTGGGCCTGGGCCCCTGATGTGCTGAGCCCAGAGGATACTCTGATAACAGGCTTGTCCCTTCCTGGATGGTGGGAGGATGGAGCTTGGGGTAGACATGCTGTAGATGATTGGGGTAATCTCCTCGGGTCACTGGTACCAAAAGACACACTGTGACATGAAGAAAAATGTCAGTAGGCCCACTCTTGCTTTGTGCTGAGAATGCATTATGATAGCTCATGTCCATGTGCTTTTAGCCTACATACTCTCAAGCAAAGATATCTGGTTCACATGTTCATAAGATTTAGAGCTGGAACGGGACCTTAGAGATCATCTCATACAACTCCCTCATTTTGCAAATGAATATACTTCAAGGGCCAGCCAGTCAGATGCTGTGATTTACCAAGGACACACAGCTCTCATGTGGTAGAGCTGAGAATCAAACCTGAGTTCTCAACTAAATCTAGCCCTATTTCTACCACACCACCAGGGTCTTCTTTCTTATACCCACTGTCTTTCCTCCTTCCACTGCACCCAATTTACTCTTCTGTGTTCTGTCCTAAACAATTATCCCATGGCAATTATTTACACACTCTACCACCATCCCTCTAACCAACCTACCTCCCCAACACACACAGCCCTGAGCATTCCTTAGATCAGAGGCCATCCCAAAGAGACAGGAACCATGGTAACGGAGCCAGAAGTGTGAATTGCTATACCTGGTATGGGAAAGTTGGTGCTCTGGAGTCTGGGTTAATGGAGAAATCCTGCTGGTTTCAGATCCCACAAAGCCACTGTCAGTTTCTGGGGACACTATCCGGTGATCCTGAAAAGTAACAATGGTCCCCCTTAACACTAATCATATTCTTAACCCTGCCCTGAAGAAGTTGGTCAGGAATTCCAGCCTGAACACTTCCTTGCTTGCTTTCACAGACCAGACCCCTCAACTGATACTCACAGAACCTCAAAGTTTGGACAGACTTCTGAGTTTACTTGGCTCCAATTGTGGGGAAACGGGAAATGGGGCAAAATTTTGCAGCAAGTTTCTCTGGTAAAGACGTCATTTCTCAAATATACAGAACTGAGCCAAATTTATAAAAATATAAGCCATTCCCAGTTGATAAATGGTCAAGGGATATGAACGGACAGTTTTCAGAAGAAGAAATCAAAGGTATCAATAGTCTCATGAAAAAAAATGTTCTAAATTACTATTAGATAAAGGCAAATCATAACAACTTTGAGATACCAATTCATACCTATCAGATTGGCTCATAAGACAGAAAAGGAAAATGACAAATGGAAGGGATGTGAAAAAATTTAGACACTAGTGCACTGTTGGTGGAGTTGTGAACTGGTCCAACCATTCTGGAGAACAATTTAGAACTACTCCCAAAGAGCTATAAAATTGTGCACACCCTTTGACCCAGGGATATCACTACCAGGTTCATATCCCAAAGAGACTAAAGAAAAGGGAAAAAGACCTATTCGTACAAAAATATAGCAGCTCTTTTGTGGTGGCAAAGAACTGGAAATCTAGGAGATGCCCATCAGTTGGGGAATGGCTGAACAAGTTGTGGTATATGATCATGATGGAATATTGCTGTACTATAAGAAATGAAGAGCAGGATGGTTTCAGGAAAACTTGGAAAGATTTATATGAACTGATGCAGAAGGAAGTGAGCAGAATCAGAAGAACATTGTACACAGTAACAGCAATATTACAAGGATAATCAACTGTGAAAGATTTAGCTACTTTGATCAAGATAATGATCTAAAACAATTCCAAAGGCCCATGATGAAAAATGCTATCTCCAGAGAGAGAAATGATGAACTCTGAATGAAGACTGAAGCATACTTGTAAAAAATTATTTTTGTTTTATTTTGTTTGTATTTTCTTTTGCAACATGGCTAATATGGAAATATGTTTTGCAAGTCCTCACATATTTAATCAAAATAAAATTGCTTGCCTTCTCAAGGCGGTATAGTATGGAGGGAGAGAATTTGTAACTCAAAATTTTGAAAAATGTTTGTTGAAAATGTTTTTACATGTAATTGGGAAATATTTAATAAAATAAAAATTATTTTAAAAAGAAAGGGAACATATTTCACGCCTCATTTTTAGTCCTCTTCCTGATGCTGCTCAGTATTTCATTGGCCTTTCTGGCCATGTAAGCACATGGTCTTCATTATCATCACTGTCATCATCATTAGAATGAGGGGGTCAAACTCCTTTCTAAATTTACATGTCATGAAACCATACCATTTCTACCTGTCACATCAACTCTCCCATCCCTATAGCTGGTTCCCATTTCTGAAGAGGGTGTGTGTGTGTGTGTGTGTGTGTGTGTGTGTGTGTGTGCGTGTGTGCGTGTGTGTGTGTTGGGCCAGATTTTATTTTGTGATTTTATTGGTATGAGGAATGGGCAGAAACTCCCTTTTTACCAATGTAAATCAAACTGCTCAGCAGTTTATTGTATTCTTAGAGAGGTTTCTGGGGCACCAAGAGGTGAATGTTGAACTCAAGAAAGGACAAGGGTCACCAAGCCTAAATGACCATGTCACAGCAATACATGTGCTGCATATATATCACACAAAGTTGTGAAGAAAGGTCCCTTGGTAAACCTTAAAGCTCTACAGAATTATGAATTGCTATTAATGTGATTATCATTATTATCATTCCTGTTTTACAAATGAGGGGCTGAGGATCAGAGAGGTGAAGGACTTGTCACCCAGCTTCTAAGAATCAGAGTCTGGATTCAAACCCAGGGCTCCTTCCATTGCTCTCACTATCTTCCCTGCCTCACTGTTTGGCAGACAACTTCAGAAAACAACTTGCATTGATTGCCTCCCAGGCCATAAACGGAAGCCTTTTCCCCAGAAGGCACGCCTGGATTATACATCCCCCAAACACAGTCGTTACCTTGTACTGGCTCACGTCGAAGTTTCTCGCCAGCTGGGGGGTGCTGGCCAAATGGAAAGCCTTCTGAAGGGGCAAAGAGCCCGATGCCCCACTGCCAGCCAGACTGGCGATGCTGCTCTGGTGAGAGGGTTGCTGCTTTTGTTCTGAGACTGGTGGGGTGAGCTGGGGGGCAGGTGGGGGCGGCTGAGCCACAGGACCCTGAGGAAGCCCATCCAAGTGGTGCCCACCATTCCCTGGCGATGACTGGAGATCTAGGGGCTGGGTCGATTGGGTCTGCTCCACACACTCCCTGACAAGAAATGAAAAACATGCATCAGCCTCATCCTTCCTGGGGCTCCTCAGGCCCTACTCCATTTGTCTTCCCTTGTGCTCACTCCACATCTGGGGGGCGGGGAAGGGGAGCCCCTCTCGTGGATCTAGGATCATAGATGAAGAAAAGTGCCCCAAAAAAGGCTCCAACTGAGAAGTTCCTGGTAAGGATCATGGTCTTTAGGAAAAAAATCCCTGGGCTCACATGTATATCAGGGCTACCATGGAGCTCATGAGCAAAGAATAAGATAGAGCCTTAAGGAAACATATGGCCGGAAGAGGAGGGACACAGAGGTCTCATGAGGGATAAGAGGCCAATGTAGCCCTGAAGTGTTTCCCTGGTGCCATGAAATTATTCAAAGAGGCAGCGCAAAGGCCTCTTGTTGTGTTGGGTAAACTTTCTATTTAGTATTTATGGAAATACAAGGGGCTAATTATGGGGTACCCTGCCCCTGTGGAGGGAAATCACAGATTCATTTAAGTGGTGAAGGAATCAGGATGTCAATCAATGTTGAAACTGAGCCTGTAGGGACAGCTAGGTGGTACAGTGAATAAAGCATTGGCCCTGGAGTCAGGAGGATTTGAGTTCAAATCTGGCTCAGATACATAACACTCAATAGCTGTATGACTCTGGGAAAGTCACTTAACCCCAATTGCCTCACCAAAAAAAAAAGAAAGAAAAGAAAAGAAAAGAAACTGAACCTGCTCCATTGGCAGGGCAAGCATCTCACAACAGAGTGGAGAGGCAGGTCAAGAATGAGGAGACCTGGGTTTGAGTCACAGCTCTGCCACTTAATAGCTATCCCCACTACCCCACACTCAGAGCTGTTTGCCCCTTTATCCAATAACCCCAGCCCTAACTACCTCATAATAAGGGTAATAATAATAAAAATATCATTATATAATATAAATATTACATTTATATAGGGAACACATAAGAGCCTTTATATAGCTCTTTAAGATTTGCATATCATTTTACATTTGATCTCATGACAACCTTGTGAAGAATGTGCTACCATCTCAATTTTGCATGTGAGGAAACTGAAGCACATAGAGGTTAAATGACTTGTTCAGGGTTATATAGCTAGTAAGTGGCAGGATTTGCACTCACATCTTCCCGACTCCAAATCTAGTTCTTTATGCACTAAACCACCTAGTTGCCTTTGGAAAATATAAAGCTGTGGCCCTGCAGAAGAGAAAAAAAATTGAGAAAATGCACCTCCCTCCCCTCTTTGCAGAGGTGGGACACTGTGCGTGTGGGATATTGCATATTCTGTCAGACATAATTGAGGCATTGGTTTGCTGAACTACTTTTTAATCTTTCTTTTTTTTAATTCTTAGTTACAAGGATTGGCTCACTAGGTACATGAAAAAGAGGGATATAGTTGAAAATGAAGGTGATGTCAAAACAAAAAGATATAGTAAATTTAAAAGAAAAAATATTTTAAAAAGCAATGTACAAAAGGGAGATATTACGACATCTCATTATTGGACGGATCCTCAGGAAGGACAAGGTGCTGAAATTTTTCTTGTGAAGAAAAGGAAATCTCTCTCAAAAGGAAGAGTCATGGGTTTTTTTTTTTAGTATTACAAACAACAGAAAAGTGGGGCAGGGGAAGCATTACCTTTCACTTCTTCATATTCTTCCTTCACATCTTAGCTCACGTGCCACCTCCTTCATGAAGCCTTCCCTGATCCCTCTCTCCTCAAACTACATTGTACTTATTAATCTGAGTACATGTTATATTTCCCTCTCCTCCTTACCCCCTACTTATAATTTAAGGTTTTCAAGGGCACAGACTGCTTTGTTTTTGTCTATGGATCCAAACTATATCCTTTGCACATAGTCAGTGCTTAATAAATGTTTTCTGAATTGGATTAGGGACAAACTTAACCTCCTTCATCACTGAGATGCCTGAATCTAGTAAAGATTGAATAGTCAAGGAGCAAGTGACTTACTCAAGATGGTTCGGGTGCTTCCCTTTCTCCTGTTCTGTCCTCCTTGAACTGGATTCAAAAGCATTGGGATTCCCAGCAATTGGCCCATCAACTTCCTGGGTGGAATTCTTCTCTTCTTGGTCTTCTTCCAACTTGACAGCATCAGGGAACAACTTGATACTGTGGCATCTATAATGGACCCAACAGAAGAGGTGTGACTTTGAGTACTACCATCTGCTGTCTTGAAGTGCTCTTGGCTGGGAAACATTGCAGACATGACCAAGCACTAGTACTCAAGATGGTGCACTAAATTTCTGGGGACTGACCGATGAGACACATCCTAAATCCAGTCTCCAAGCTATGAATGAGATGCTTCTTCTAAGAGGTCTTAGTGGATCCTCTTATGGATGAATCCCTAAATGACCAAATCATGACTGTCTCAGAGCAACTTTTATAAAAGCTAGAAGGGACTCTGAGAGGTCATATAGTCCACCCCCCTGCCTTCACATAGCATTATATTAACCCACCCCAGACAGATGAGACTCCATCCTAACTTTCAAAAATTCTCAGAGAAGACTCTATAACACTTATAACAGATTCTGGAGGTAAGTGCCTGTGGGACAGGGACCATTTTTGTCTTTCTTTGCTTCCCCAACTCTTAGCACAGCACTTCCTGACCCAATTCATCCCAATATTTCACTTTAATCCCTACAATTGTGGCTTAAGCATATTCACTCTAGTCCTCATATTTTGTGGAAGTGAAGAACATCTCCTCTTGGTTATCTACATCAAATCCCCTCTGCATGGATCCCAGAAAGCATTGATGGACTCAATCTTGGCTTCCCCAAAGCCATCAGAGCAAACCAAGCAGCACACCGAGCATCCTTTGGCAAAGATCCCCTAGTTCCCTTCAGCAGCTCTCCCCACTATGCACATCTTCCTCGCAGGCTCTCAAGCTCACAGATCTTGAGTTAGAAAGGACCTCAGAAACCATCTAATCCAATCCCCTCATTTTACAGAAGAGAAAACGGAGGCCTAGGGAGGCTAGGTGATTTGTCTCAGTTCACAAGATAAGAAGTGTCAAAGACAGAATTGATTTTTTCCTGTTGAACCTGTATAAATACATTTTTAAGTTGTTTAATTATTTTTGTCAATTAGCAAAAATCTACTTTCCCTCCTACCTTCTCCCTCCAGTTGGGGGTGGGGGAGGGAAGCAAAGAAAAATAAAGCTGTTGTAGACATGTATGTATAGTAGAACAAAACAAATTCCTACACTGGCTATGTCCAAAAAATATGTCTCAGTCTGCACTCTGAATCCATCACCAGAGGTGAGATGTGAACCCAGGTTATCTGACCCCAGTGAGTAGTCTTTCCTTAGTCATAATGACTAATGCACTGTACCTTCCTTTGCAGAGCAAATGATGAAACTCCAGCAGTACCGTATAGTCTGTGCCATGGTACTCTATTGCAAAGCTTTCAATCATTTTTCAGTCACGTCTGACTCTTCATGACCCCATTTGGGGTTTTCTTGGCAAAGATACTGTAGTGGTTTGCCATTTCCTTCTCCAGCTCATTTTACAGATGAGAAACAGAGGCAAACAGGGTTAAGTTACTTGCCCAGGGTCACACAACTAGTAAGTGTCTGAGGCCAGATTTGAACTCAGGAAGATGAGTCTTCCTGACTTCAGGCCTGGCACTCCATCCACTGTGCCACTACTATATAGAAAATCATCCCATTTTTATTTGTGAGGAAAATGGAGCACATGAGGCTATAGGCCAGGCCAGTGGAGTTCCCAAAAGGACTTCTCCAAACTTAAGCTTTCTCCGGTCCTCCTCCCCCACCTCCTTCCAATCCAAAAAGTCAAAAGATGCCTTCTACCACATCCCATGCATCCAAAAGAAGATGCTGCTTTGGATCTTAAAAAAACATTCCTTACTGGGTAATTATAATAACAAAGCTTGTCCCTGAAGAAAAGATAAGAAAATGCATCTCTTTCCCTCATTTGCAGAAGTGGGGGACTATGGGTGTAGAACATCATATGAACTGTTAGATGTTAATGTGTTGGTTAGTTTTGTTGACCTGCCTATTCTTCCCTTTCTTTTTCTTTTTTCAAATCCGGCCTCAGATACTTGACACCTACTAGCTGTATGACCCTGGGCAAGACACCTAACCCCATTGTCTAGCCCAAAACAAAAAAAAAAGAATATTTTCAGTATGGAGCTGGGTTTACCACCTCAGCATATACCATTCCACCAAACTGAACTTCTCCGTAACTAAGTATTATCAAGTATTAAGTATATTCAAGGTTTTGATGAGTTTTTCCTAACAGTTTCCCAGGTCTTTCTGTGGATTCCCCACCTTGTTTGGACACAAAGTGGGTTGGAAGGTCTGGGGATGGGGATTGGATAGAGCCAGGAGGGCTGGGGAGTTCCCATAAGTGGATGGGACCCTCTGACCGTCCCCTTGACACTTACCGGGCCATAAGGCTCTGGAAATCCTGCTCCATTTGGAGCTGCTTGTACTGAAGTGGCTGGGGCAATACGGGGCTCTCATTTTCTACCTCGCTGCTGGCAGAGCTCACTTCTGTATGCTCTCCAGACAGAAAAGTGTGGCCGTTCTGGAGAGCTGGGGTCTGTAGGAAAGAGAGGTAAGGAGTCAGAGAGAGTCCAATTAGCCCCAGAGCTTTGGACAAAACAACCGAGGGAGATAACTCTTCCATCCTCACCAGGAAACTTCACTTGTGCAACCTAGGTTATACTTATCCTAATCTTGTGAATGGGCAGCTAAGTGGCACAGTGGATAGACCACCAGACCTGGAGTCAGGAAGACCTGAGTTCAAATGTGACCTCAGATAACTTCCTAGCTGTGTGACCCTGCGCAGGTCGCCTAACCCTGTTTGCCTCAGTTTCCTCATCTGTAAAGTGAGCTGGAGAAGGAAATGGAAAACCACTCTAGTATCTTTGCCAAGAAAATCCCAAATGAGGCCATGAAGAGTCAGACATAACTGAAACAGCAACAACAAGCTAAAGAAGACATATTCTTTTTTTAAAAGGTGGGGAGGACCCATGGCTCCCTTATCTAGTACTTCTGAAATTGATTTATAGGACTTCACATTTATCCTTAGTGAATTTCATCTTCTTAGATTTGATCTATTGCTCTAGCCTTTTGAGATCTTTTGGGATCATGATTCTATCACCCATTGTGTTGGCTTTTCAGATCTGAAGGTGACACAAAACTGGGTGGGCTAGCTACCTATGTAGCTACATGGTGCAGTGGGTAGACCACTGGTCTTGGAGTCAGGAAGACTTGAATTCAAATCTGACCTCAGATACTTATCTGATCCTAGGCAAGTCACCTAACTTGTCTGCCTCAGTTTCCTCAAATGTAAAATGGGGCTAATAATAGCACCTACCTTCCAGGGTTAGTGTGAAGATAAAATGTGATAATACTTGTAAAGTGCTTTAAAATGCTATGTAAATGCCAGCTATTATTTTCTGAAGCCATACATTTTTTTAAATGTTAAACATCATGGGACAAAGGGCATGTCCCTAGAATACTCCACTAGAGACCTCCTTCCAAGTTGACATCAAGCCTTTAAGAACTCTAAGAGGTATATTATCCACATCCAGAGAAAGAACTGATAGAGTCTTAATGCAGATCAAAGCATACCATTTTTACTTTATTTTTTTCATGGTTTTCTCCTTTTGGTCTGTTTCTTCTTTTACAACATGACTAATATGGAAATATGTTTTACATGATTGTACATATATACCCTATATCAAATTGCTAGCCATTTTAGGGAGGGGGTAAGAAAAAGAGGGAGGGAGAAAAATTTGGAATTCAAGAATTTTTTAAATGAATGTTAAAAATTATCTTTACATGTAATTGGAAAAAATAAAATGCTATTTTTAAAAATGAATTCTGAGAGGCAGCATGACACAGTGGATATGGTGTAGGTACTGAATAAGAAAGACCTGGGTTCAAATCCTAACTCTGACCCTTGTTGCAGGACTACAAACAAGTCACTTAACCTCAGTTTCCTCATCTGTAAAATGGGGATAATACCTATTTGTATCTACTCTTCAAGTTCGTTGTGAGGCTCAAATAAAAGAATATATGCAAAGTACTATGCCAACCTTAATATGTTAGGTAAATGTCAGCTGGTTTTTATTCCTCATTTGAACCTTTGAGTGAATAGGTGTAAGGAAACTCCTATCAATGAAAATCAGCAACTAATCTACAATGCATAGTCTTGGAAAGTTGTTTGGGGCATAGAGAGGAAAGTGGCTTGCTTAGGGTCACATGATCAGCATGTGGAAGAAACAAGACTTGAACACAGGTCTTCCTACCCCCAAGACTGGCTCTCTATCAATGATACCATACAACCTATGAACACAGTTATATGAAAAAAGATGGCGAGTCTTTGGGTACAGTAATTGAACTGGCACCAACTCTACCTATCTGGGTCATTGTTGAGCCATCTCTCTCTCTCCTATCCATGGGATGGTGTGACAGATAAGCACAAGAAGAGCACAAAAGCATAGTAAGAGATACACTTTCACCCCTCTTTGTCTTTGCCCATTCTGCTCCCTGTGCCTGAAATATACTTCCTTCTCGTCTTTGTCCACTAAAGCTCTGATCAAATGCAGCCTCCCCCAGAAAGTCATCTCCGTTCCTCCCCTGTGCAAAATGACCTTCCCCACTGAACCCAGAGTCAGGAAGACCTGAGTTCAAATCTGGACTCAGATATCTGAGTCTGAATCTAGCAGTACGACCCTAAGCAAGTCACTTAACTTCTGTTTGCCTCAGTTCTTTAACCATAAAGTGGGGAACACTTAGCGTTGCAGGGTTGTTATAAGAATCAAATGAGATAGCACAGTACCTGGCCCATAGTAGGCACAATATAATGCTAATTCTCTTCCCTTCCCTTCCTCCCATCAGACCTTAGTCTATGGTTTTGAAACCCACTGGCACCTATTGCAAGATACTACATATTACATACTTATCCATGTCTCTGTCTTTTAACAATAACTTAATTTTCCACAGCCCTTCAGAGTGTACAAAGGGCTTTCCATAAAATAGCTGTACAAAGTAGGAAATACGAATAGTGTTTTCATTTTATAGATGAGAAAACTAAAGCTAAGAGACATTAAGTGACTTGCTCAGGGTCACCAAACTAGCAAATACTGAAACTGGAATTTTAGCCCACTGACCTTAACCCCAGTGCTCTACCCCCTCACAATTAGTCAACAAGCATTAAACAGTGCCAGGCACAGCGCTAAGCATTGTTGTTGTTCAGCTGTTTCAGTTGTGTCTGACTATTGATGACCCTACTTGGGGTTTTCTTGGCAAAGATATTGGAGTGGTTTGCCATTTCCTTCTCCAGTTCATTTTACAGATGAGGAAACTGAAGCTAACAGGGTTAAATGGCTTGCCCAGGATCACACAGCTAGTAAGTATCTGAGGCCAAATTTGAACTCAAGTCTTCCTGACTTCAGGGCCAGTGCTCTCTCCACTAGCAGAAATAGTCCATGCCTTCATGAAGTTCACATTCTAATCGGGAAGGAACCAAGTGAATAATTAAGTGAATAAAGAAAGATACGCACAGAGCAGAGGAAGGGAATCTCATAGAGGAAGGTAACAGCAATGGGAGAAAGGCCTCTGCAGAAAGCAGGATTTGAGCTGAGCCTTGAAGGAAGCCAGAGAACCTAAGAGCCAGAAATGAGGAAAGAGATTATTCCAGGCATGGGGACAATCAGGGCAAAGGGACAGAGATGGGAGATGGAGTGTGGTATGGGAGGAAGAGCATAATGTATAATTTCCCTGAGGGCAGGGACTAGTTAGCACCATCACCCTAACCCCCACCAGCAGCACCCAGGACTCAGCAGATCTTGCAAGATCAACACCCATAGATGCATGCTTTTGATTTTCAGTACCCTACAAGGTAAAATGTAGGCAGCACAGTAGATAGAGCACCAGGCCTGGAGCCAGAAAGAATCCTCTTCATGAGTTCAAATATCTCAGACACTTAGTTGTGTGACCCTAGGCAAGTCACTTAATCCCTTTTGCCTCAGTTTCCTCATACGCAAAATGAGCTGGAGAATGAAATGACACACCACTCCAGTATCTTTGCCAAGAAAACCCCAAATGGGATCATGAAGAGTTGGACATGGCTTAAATGACTGAACAAAAGAAGGTAAAATACCACCTTGCAACGGTTTCCCGGAAGAAATGACACTGTTGGGTTGGAGCCTCAAATAATACTGAGCAATCCAACTAAATCTTTAGAAAACATATTTGCCTGTAAAATGTCAGGACTACAAAGTCTGTCTTAGCTTTACTTCTCACTCCTTGCTTCATTAACCCTCCCTCCCCACCCCTCTTTCTCTCTCTCTCTCTGCCTCTCTCTCCATCCCTGTCTATGTCTCTGTCTATCTGTCTCTGTCTGTCTCTCTGTCCCTGTCTCTCTCTCCCCATTGCCACCACCCCCAGCTAGGCCCTCATTATTAGTCCACTAGTTCACTAGGACAACTGTAACAGCTTTCTAAATTGTCTTCCCTCCTCTGATCTCTTTCCCTTCTAGTCTATCCTTCAGACTGCTGCCAGAATAAATTTCCTTAGGCACATACTTGGACATATCATTCCTCTTATTAAAAATCTTCAGAACCTCCTAATTGCTTTCAGATTCTTTGATCAGCATTCAAGGCCCTCTGAAATCTGGCTCCATGAGAAGTGCTTGGTAAATGTCTTTTTCATTCTATTGCATTCCCCCCTTGGCTAGTCCAAGAGAACCCAAGCATGACTTAACAGTAAACACTGAGTCAGACTCAAACAGATTCTCATGAAGATCTAGCACACAAAAAAAGAAACAAGAAGTCTAATGTAATTCATTCGCCACTGGGCTCAACGACTGCCTTCCTCCTGTAATGGAGAAAAGAGTTACCTCAGGGTAGGGGGTGCAGACAGCAGGCATAGGGGCGTGAGCTGATAGAGCAGGAGACAGAGTTGGCAGGTCTGATACAGGTGAAGCTGCTGAGCTGCCGCGGGACTTTTCTTCTGGAGGGGTCCTCAGAGACAGCTGGTCAGGTCTTAAGTCATCTATCTCATCCATCAGCTCCTCGAGGCGCATTCCTAGCCGAAATATCTCTCCTTCCACTTCCCTGAAACAGGTCAAATTATGGTTATGTAGAAGAATGAAATCAGAAAGAGAGACAGAGACAAAGACAGAAACAGAGACACAGAGAGAGACAGAAAGAGAGAGGAGACTGTTACATTCTGAAAGGGGAAGGAGATGCACTAGCTCAGGATTTTTTTCCCAATGCATTGTAGGAAATTCCCTAGACTACTGCAGAGTCAGAGATAACATGACTACTGGATAAAAAGCTAGCCTCAAACTTAGGAAAACCTGGATTCAAGTCCCCACCTTTGACACAGGATCCTGGGCAAGTCATTTAATCTTAACCTCTCAGTGTCCCAGGCTATCCTCTTAAGACTGTAAGTGATAGAGAAGGTTTTGTATTGGTAGAGGGAGGAAGCTGATGAAATCACAGGCCCAATCCAAAACAAAACAAAAAAGAACAACCTATACGGTAGACTCACCCCTGTAGAAAGAGAGACCTTGGGTTAGATGCCTCTTAGAATGTATAAATCATAAAATCTATACTTAGAAGAAAACTTAGTCTGACCTCATTTTACACATGAGGAGAGTGAGACCCAGAGAAAGGAGAATGACTTGGCCCAAAGTCACAATGTAAATAAGTAGCAGGATGATCCCAAATTCAGTGCTCCTTACATGACGCTATACTGGCTCCACTTAACAAGGGGAGAAAAATCCTAGACATAGAAACATGAAGATTGGCCCACCAGAAGAATAGAGATCTAATGGTCAGAAAGCAAATAAGCTAAGAAAACCCAGAGCCTCTGAGGGCCTAGGCTGGCAAGAAGCTGGGAGGCCAGGGCGCAGTGACTCCTTCCCAACAGGGACCCATCAGAATCCACTGCTTCTATTTGTAAGTTTTCATATATGTAACCAGAAAAGCAGACCCTCATTGGCTTTGGTTCCAGGCTGTTCATCGGGCTGCCTAACTCTCTGTTTTAAGTGTTCCAGCCCAAGTAGCAAAAATCTACCTGTATCCTCACCAGCTAATCTGCAAGAGCAGAGGTGTTTTATGTTCACTGACACAGAACCTCAGACAGACAACAGCAGGGCTACAAGGTGTGTATTGGACACATCTCTTTCCATGTAGTTTCTCTGAATCCTTCATATGAGCTCAATTAATACTATCTCTAGTTTCAGTCAGGGGTTTTCTGGAGCCAAATACCACTGGCTCACTATCAGGGCCTGATGCAGAGGTTTCCCAAGTGGATGACAGCACCCCCTGGGGGGTGAGGGAATGATCCAGGGAGGCAGGTTTTTTTTTTAGAAATGACAAAAATTTTTTAAAAAAAGTTAAAGGGTTAAAGAAAGTAGATTTCGGGGGGGGGGGCACTGAGTAATTTTTTAAAGGGGGTTGGTAGGCCAAATAAGTTTGGGAACTCATTTGAACAATGCAGATTAAACTTAAAAAGTGTGTCATGTGTACTTTTTTTTCAGAGATCCAGTTGTTAAACATTTACCAGCACACTCCTAATTAGAGGGTTCTCTAGGTCAGTAAGGGTACAGTTTCTCTTGTTTTACCATGGGTATTGCTAACAAGAAAAAAAAACCATCATAAAATCTTAGAGTTAGAAAGGAACCCCACCTCCCCCACACATGTTCAAATAAACTCCAATGGCTCCCTATTACTTCCAGTATCAAATAAAACCCTCTGTTTGCAATTTAAAGTTCTTCCCATCTACCTCTTTCCTACCATTCCAGTCCCTATACTTCACTCCCTTTGACGAATTCTGTGACCCAACAACACCAGACCTACTTTCTGTCCCTCACACAGGACAGTCCATCTTCCATCTCTGTCCATTTTCCTAGAATGTCCCCCATTCTTGGAATACACAATCTCAACCTCCTAGGCTTCTTTCAAGACCCAGTTCGAATTCCATGTTCTGGAGGAGGCTTTTCCCCCAGTTAACCTCTCCCAGGTGTTGGTCCCTTCCTCTCTGAGACTACCCTCCATCTGCTGTTTCAGTATATTTTGTATGTCACTAAGTATTTACATGTTGTCTTTCTCATTAGAATGTGAGAGGGAGGGATTATTTTGTGGTTCTTTGTATCCTTACTGCTCAGCAGTGGCATATGGTACTTAATAGAACTTAATAATGCTTGTTGACTTGAAAATTGAGGCTCAGCAAGTTGGTGGTATATGATTGTGATGGAATACTGCTGTGCTATATAAGAAATGACCAACAGGATGATTTCAGAAAAACCTGGAAAGACTTACATGAACTGATGCAGAGTGAAATGAGCAGAAGCAGGAGAACATTGTACATACTAATTGTTTATAACAACTGCGAATGACTTAGCTATTCTGAAGGACAATTCTGAAGGACTTAAGATGAAAAATGCTGTCCACAACCAGAGAAAGAACTGATGGAGTCTATAGATTGGAGCGTATTTTTGTTTTTACTTTATTTTTCTTGGGTTTTTTAGGAGGAGGGAAGTGTTTTCTTTCACGACATGACTAATATGGAAATATGTTTTATATGACTGTACCTGTATAACTTATATCAAATTGCTTGTTTTTTCAATGAGGTGGGAAGAGGCAGGGACAAAATATGAACTCAAAATTTTTTAAAAAATGAATGTTAAAATTGTTTTTACATGTAATTGGGGAAAAAACAAAACATTTTTTTAAGGAAGAAAAGGAGGCCCAGGGAGTGGAAGTTAAATGACTTGACCAAGTCACATAGGTAATAATCATGAGAGGCAGAATTTGAACTCAGAGCCTCTAACACTGATACTGGTTGCAGACTCATTTAACCCTTCAGTGCTCCACTTACATCGTCCTCCTGACAAGCTCCTCATACTGATGAAATTATAGGCCAAGTACTTATCCCCATTAGCTCATTTTACTTATTAATACTGAGTCATATAATCTTAATGTATAAAATACTTCAAAAGGATGAAACTGTATCACTTTTTAAATATTCCACAAATTGGATTTTCTACTAAATGGATCAGGCTTCCTGTGCCACTTACTCTCCACGTTACCAACGCCCTCCCAGTTGATTATTCTGAATCACTGAAGATTAACCACCATTTCCCTGCAACATAATTCCAAGAACTTTGGGGGCAATTTCAGGGATAAAACCCTGGCCATGCAGATGTCATCCTTTAAGGCGATGGGTTCCCTTTCCTAACACATACCTGTTAGGATCAAATTTACCAGGAGGCACCTCAGATGCCTGGAGCTGTTGCACACGTCTGTGCTCTCCTCGTGCCCAGAGAAAGGATTTCTCTAAAGCATCCTGTTCTTCCTTCAGCCTCCAAAACCGCTGTAATAAAAAGAACATAGAGAGGTATGAGCTTCCAGAGGCCATGGGAGCCCACAGAGTCACAGGTGAGTAGTATATGTCCCAGCAGTTAACACAGAGCTTAATATCCCCATGATATTAATTCAGGGATCGGCAACTTATAACAGCACAGGAGAGTGGATTAGTTTCTAGCTTTGGAGCCTGGGACACCTGGGTTCAAATCCCATGTCTGATAGCTGGATTAATTTCATATTTCTCCCCATCATTCATTACACATTCTCCCTGCATTGTATTATTATTATATGTTACATATTATAATTACTACATTATATACATTATACTATTCTCCACAAACCAGTTTCCATTTCTAATCTCTCTGCTCTAGCACAGGCTGTCCCCCAGGCCTGTAACACACTCCCTCCAACTTGAAAATTCCTTGACTTCTTTCAAGGATCTGTTCAAGTGCTACCTTTTATACTACGCCTTCCCTGATTCCCCCAGTTTAAGTTACTCTGTATGTGTATTTTATATTTACTTCTCCATGTGCACGTAAGTCTCCTTACAGCCCTCTGCCCACAATGAGATTGTAAACTACCTAAAGGTAAGAACTCTTTAGTTTTTGCCTTAGTATTCCCAACACCTACCACATAGTGTTTGTAACATAGTAGGCATTTAATAAATTCATGTTAAATTTAATTGAGGCTGTTATTATTACCAAAAGTTAGAAAAAAAGGCCAGAACATGACATTACTAATCCTATTCTTAGTTTCTTTGATAAAATACCAGCCAAGCCAGTCAAATGCCAGCTAGCTAGCAATCCTGAATGCAAATCAATTTTTAGTAGTATGAAGGCTAGTTATAGATGTCTCCATGCACCCAGTTGGATTTTCCAAGTTGGCACAAATGAGTCTAGCTCCTTTATGAGGGTCAGTATGTTCATACTCCCTAGCACTCCCACTCAGCACAGGCTCCCTCTTAAAACCCGAGATTTGGAGCTATTTCCCCCTCTGTCCACCTCTTTTAATCCTCATCCTCATTTTCTGGAACCAGGAACTGAGAACTTTTGGTTCCCACTTCTGAAAGGTTGCAACTCCATGGCTTGAAGCCAGTCATGATGCAGCTTAGGACATAGGAGGAGGGAACATGCGCAACTACAGAACAGTCTGATGCTATATAACTAGAAGATGACTTGGGCACTTAACTGCTTCCTGCTGTTGTGGTCCTCAAAGCCTTGGCAAGTAGGCTGGCTCTCTGGCCTTTGCTTTCCTGATTTTGACTCTTACCTGGCCACTGACTTATGAAGATACACACACACACACACACGAATATATACTTATAGTTTGTATATATATTTACATATATGGTCAATGACTTATAATTATTTATATATTTATATTTAATATAATTGATGTACATATAGATATATTTATATAGAAATATAAATATATATAACACATACATAAATGCAATTTTATATCTACATTATATGTATAATTTACATATAAATATAATTATATATAACTGATATATTTATAGTGAAATATATTTATATTTATTTTAGTTATGATAATTTTTTATTTATAATATTTCTATTGTTTTTGTTTGTGATGTTTCTATTGTTTATTTATTGATATTTTATATCATTTTGTTGATTTGTTAATTTATCTATTATATGCATTTGTTAATATGTAAATACTGATAAACATAAGTATATCATATGTCTGATATATGAATTTATATAAATTGGTATATAAGTTATATTATATATAAATTATATCTAAATATAAAATTATATTTATATATTATTATAATAAACTGGAGGGGCAGGGGTAAGGTAAAGTCTAATTACAAGTATAATAATAACAATAAATACACATATAAGACACATGTAAATACACATATATAACTCAGATTATATAGAAAAATCCTGAAGTGAAAAGAGCAGTAGCTAGTGGTACCTTGAGCTGATCCTGAGGTGGCAACGTTCCTTCTTGGACCAGTCCTTCAAAAGATTCCACCTGGATTAAGGAAAAAATCACGTGCATCATTAGCTAATAGCTCTCGAAGATTACTCAGGGTGACAGCCTTGACCTCATCCTTTTCAAACGTTGGTTCTTAACCTCAGGGCCTTGTGCACATTGTATGTTCAGAGCAGGTCCAGTTTCCTGACTCTGTTGCCTTGTGTCTGTCCTCGTGTGATTGGGAAGCAAGCTGCTATTGGGGGTGGGGGGCACAGAAGGAATTCCCCTGGGCCTTTCTCAGGCAACTAAAGACAGCTCAGTGGTTGTGTAGGGATCCTTTTTGAACCAAATTGAGTTTATTGTCATGTCTCTATGAAGGTTTTGGTGCCCTGGGGATCCTCTGGGTGAGTTCCACAAAACCTCTAGGTCTCTGTTAATTCTGATCACTTGATTTTGTTTGTGGTGCATTGGAAAGAGCCTTAGATTTGTAGCCAAAAGATCTGAATGAAAAGCCTAGCTCTACTGCTAACTTCTTGTGAGACCTTAGGCAAGGCATGGCACCTCTGACAGTTTCCTTTTCCGTAAAATGAGGGGCTTAGACTACATCATCTCTAAGGTCCTTTCCAGCTCTAAAATCCTATGATACTATACTTTTTGAAAGATAAGTTCTTTGATGGAATAAACCATAAGTTTGATTTTCAGGAACAAAAAGAAGCTAGAATATTTTAAAAACCCCAGGTCTGTGAGCCAAGAGCCTGCTCCAGCTCTACAATTATCTGTGTGACCTTCAACAAGCCACTTCATTTCTTTTGGACTCAGTTTTCCTATCTGTCAAATTAGATGATAGAATCAACCGATCTCTGAGATTCCTCTTAATATTCTATAATTCTATAGAATTTTTACATCTTAACTAGATCTTATTTTATTAAATATTTTTACATTTACATATTAATTTTGTCATAAGTTTTATGAATGACTCTTGTTTTTAAGTGACAGTCACTTCTGGATCTAGCTTCCCTGTTCCCCAACCCTAAAATTACACACTTTGTTGCAATACAGAAAAAACAGTTAAGCAGAAAAAGAAAAAAACACACCAACCATGTCTGATAATGTAGGCAAAATTCTGCCCCTACATGAAATCCCCCACCTTTCAGTTATTACAATTTCTCAGAGTTCAGATCACTTTTCATATTCTTTAGTATGTTTATTTATGTTCATTTAACCTAGAGGAGAGAAAACTGATGGGAAATTTTATGATGGCATGTAAAAATTACATGGGACTCTGAGAATGGATGATGAGTTACTCTTCCCCATCTCCAATGAGACCCAAACAAGAAGAGGTGAGCTTGGATGACAACATGAAGACTTAGATTCAGGAGTGTACTAGAGCCAGCTCTAACCTGTTTACGAGACTGTTGAATTTTCACTGTGAGTGTTTTTATCTCAGAAATTGGCATTCGCTACAAATCAGGATTTGATTCATTGTTTTGTCAACTATCCAGACTTAAGTGTTAACAATGCAGATTAAACATAAAGTGTATTTGCATACATTTCCCCTTGGTTTTTAAACATTTACCAAGTGCACCCCTTTTCAGATTAGATATAAGAAAGAAATTCCAGATATCAAGAGCTTTTTAAACGTCCTAGTCAGTAATCCCTCCTTCTGTGGGTTCCCTCTTTCTGAGATGGTTGGGATCTAGCCCTTCACAGGGGAAGGGGAGGAAATGGCGTCTGGAAGTTCTCAAACTTGAACATTTCTGCCTTTACTTTTGTTTTAAGCTCCTTTGTCCTTTCTGCACACACTACATAGCTAGGACTTGGCTCACCTGTGCTAGGAACCTGACCACCTCGTTGGCCAGTGTCTGGGTCAGACGATCTCCCAGGGACGGCCCTAGCGTGGAGGTGCCACTGCCTTCTGTCAGTGGGCCAGGGTATGCGACAGCTGGGGATGGATTCAGATCACCTCGAGTTGCTGATAGTTCTGGAATACATTGATGTTGAGAGTCAAGTTAGACTGAAGGATGGAGTCTAACAGTGGCCCTTTACAGGGCAGAAACACAAACCAAAAGGCCCAAGAGGCCCAGAACCTCCACAAGACCCCACTGGCTACTTGAAGCAGGAATGGGGGCTATGGGAAGTGTCCTGTTCGCCCTCTGTTCCCAAAGGCCAATAGTCACGGAAAATCCGAGGGACCTTAAAGCCCAGTACCCAACAGGTTTTTAAGTTCCAGGGTCCAATGGACCTCAGCTATTCTTATCAATGCCATTGGACTGGTCATATTAGAAACTTACAACGATAACACACATAAAAACATAAAACAGACTTTAGTCCTATGTAATGATGGTGGTGGAATGATAGAAAAGGAAATTAGGTGATGAAGCAGAAAAGCAGTGGGGCTGGAGACAGAAAGACCCAAATTCAGGTCTAGCCTCAGACACTTATTAGCTGTATGATGTTGGGCAAGTCATTTAACCTTTATCTGTCTCAGTTTCCTCAGCTATAAAATAGGGATAATAATTGCATCTACCTCCTAGGGCTGTTGTGAGGATCAAATGAGATAATATTTGTAAAAGTGCCTGGCATATAGTAGGCACTATATAAATGGTAGCTATTATTATTACTATCATTATAAGAGTGCTAAGAAGCATAGTTTTCAGTTCCTTTAAGAAGCATTTTCTTAACTTTTGGTACTCTAAATGTCAGATTTCTGTCCAATGACAAACAAGGTGATAGAGTTCCTTAAAAATATGACTCATATGTCTATGTATTTTAAGGATTACAAAGTGCCTTCCTCCCAACAACCCCTAGACCTAGTACCTATAGTTATTTTACCCATTTTATAGATGTGGTAACTGGGACTGAGGGCAATCAAATGACTTGTCTAGTGTCACATAGGTAGTAAGTGTTGGAGCTAGAAATCAAACTAAAGTCTCTTTGAACTGCAAATGCCAGGTCCCAATACCAAACTGTAGAGCACTATACTAGGCACCTGGGAAAAGGGTCAGAGCCAAGGATTCAGAGAAATCAACACCATCCCACCCATCAGGGACCTTCTATTTTAGAAGACCTTTCCCAGGTGGATGCGTCCTGTATGCAAATAATTACAATGCAATTGGTGAGCAAATTACAATGCAGCAAACTCCAAACAGAATATGAAAGTCCATGAAAAAAGAAATAGGTTCCCCTTCATTTTCATGGGTTTCCTTTCATTGGAAGCCTTCAAGCAAAAGCTAGATAACTGTTTGTCAGGTATATTGCATGGGGGAGTCTTATTTTGTTATGAGTTGAACAAGATGGCTTCTGAAGTCTTCTGACTCTGAGATTCTGTGAGGAGGAGGGCTTATTATGAAGTTAATATGAGATTTCATTGACTAAGTTAATAATAATAATAATAATAAACAGTAATAATGGCTAGCATTTATATAACACTTTAAGGTTTGCAAAACACTTTACAAATATCTCATTTATCCTCCCAACAATTCTGGGAGGTAGGTGCTATTAATATACCTGTTTTACAGTTGAGGAAACTGAGGCAGACAGCAGTTAAATGACTTCCCAGGGTCACACAGCTAGTGTGACACAGTCTGAGGCCGAATTTGAACTCAGATCTTCCTTACTCCAGGCCTGGCACTCTATCCACTGTGCCACCCAGCTTCTCCAGAGGAATTACAGGGAGTTATAAATGGAAGACTTTGGTTTGAATTGGTGTAACCATGGGCAAGTTACTTTCCATATCTGGGCCTCAGTTTCTTTTTCTGTTAAATGATGGACCTGGAAAAAATAATCTCTCTTAGGTCCTTCAAGTTCTAAGTTCTAGGAACCTCTTAGCGGCAGGAAAGTAATTGTAATGATATGTCACCAAGTATGAGCAGGGTCTTTGAGACTTCGGGGCCTCTTTCCTATTTTTGTGTGCCTTTAGCCCTTTCAGTGGCATCTTCTTTGTCAGACGTGGAGCCTATTCCCCTCACGACAACTCTTACTACTAGATGGATAATAGGGACATTGAAGGACAATGCAATGCAGTTAAGAACGTTAGCTTCCAGAGTTCTGCCTTTTCCTCCTCCCAAACTCACCTGAGTCCAACAAAGCCTGTGATCCAGTGGTTGACTGCCATTCTGCCATCCTAGCCTGAGGAATGGTGAAGGACATGACCTTGGTCCCATGAGGCATGGATCCCATATGAACACCATGGCTGGGCTTGGGTGGGTCAGAGTACAAGTTTATCTGTGAAGAACATAGGAAGATAAGTCATATCTGGGAGAAATTAAGATCAGCGAAGGAAAGAGGAAATCCAAAAGGAAATAAATGGTGGCCATGTACTGGTAGTCTTAAATAACTGATTCACCCTGAAAATGGGGAGCACCGTGCCTCTGGGACCAGGAGAAAAACGAGTGCAGTGCCAAGGAGAGGACACTAGGTGGAGGCAGAAGACCAGCACTTGAATTCTGTCTCAGCTGTCAACTCGCTGGAATTAATTACTAATGAGTTACTAATCATTAATTCACTAAAGGATCTTGGGACATACCCTTAACCTCTCTGAGCCTCAGTTTCCTTATCTTTAAGATGAAAGGGTTGGACTTGATTATTTCCAAGGCTCCTTATAACTAACACTCTGACCTTTTGAATACATAAGCTTGATTTTCCAAGGAAGAAAGAAGATGAGGTTTGGGCAAGTCATTTTCCCCATCTGAATCTCGGTTTCCCCATCTATAAAATGGGGATGATATCTATTTAAGCTGCCTACTTCATAGGTCACTTCTGAGGAACCTTGTTATTGTTGTTGTTCAGCTGTTGTCTGTCCGACTCCTTGTGACCTCATGGACCAGAGCACTTCAGGCCTTTCTATCTTCCACTGTCTCTTGAAGTCTGTCCAAGTTCATGTTCATTGTTTCCATGACACTATCAATCCATCTCATCCTCTCTGCCCCTTTTTCCTTTTATCTTCAATCTCTCCCAACGTCAAGGTTTTTTGTTTTTTTTTTTTAACAATGAGTCCTGTCTCCTCATTATGTGACCAAAGTATTTAAACTTCAATATCAGTATCTGACCTTCCAGTGAATAGCTTGAATTAATTTCTGAGTACTGACTGATTTGATCTTGCTGTCCAAGGGACTCCCAAAAGTCTTCTCCAGCACCACAGTTCAAAAATGTCTATTCTGTAGTGCTCAACTTTCCCTACAATCCAACTCTCACAGCCATACATCGCTACTAGAAAAATCATTACTTTGACTATATGGACTTTTGTCAGCAAGGAGATATAAAGACCAAATGAGATGGAGAAACAGCATGGTATAATGATTGAGTCAGGATGATCCAGATTCAAACTTTGCCTCCAATACTTATTGTCTGACCATAGACAAGTCACTTCCCTTCTCATAGTGGAACTCTATCCACTGTGCCACGTACCTGCTCTACGAAAATAAGCACAGAGCTTACCAAGCAGACTGCTTGAAGAAGACACTCCTTTGGATACATAAATTCTGGACCCTAGGATTTGGAACAAGCAGGAGGCTGAGATTTCATCCAGACCAGCTCCCTCATTGTACAGATGTACCTTGTACAGATGGGGAAGCTGGAAGCCAAACAGGCGACTTGTCGAAAGCCATGCAGGTGGCAGAACCAGGACTTAAATCCAGATCTTCCAACTGCAAATCCAGTACTCTTTTCAAAGCACCATATTCATCTGTCTATTTAAAAACAAACCCCAAAGGGGCCAGTCTTTTTGCTTGTCTACCTGCATCAGGGACATGGACCATGGACTTTGGACCCACTCTGCTAATGCTGAGGAAGAGAGTACCCCACAAAGGCAGCCTCTTTTCTGGCAGAGGCCCTGTTTAAGCTTCTCTTCACGTTCCTCTGGAAAGCCTATTCCAAAGTGGTGTAGATCATTAGAGCTGCTTGGCTCCCCTCTCCCTCCCCCCTTGTGGGGCTTGATGGAGAACAAAGCTGGATTTTAATAATCTCCTCCGCCATCTGTTCACCCTCCCTCTTTCTGTGAGACCAGTCGCCCCACACTTCTATTGGTGATTCTGGGCTACCCCAGGGGCAGTTCCTGCTGCAAAGCTTTGTCTTCTCTATTTGTGGTAACACAAATCTCTAGGGATTCTGAATAGGACAGAGGAGAGGGATGTGGGACTGGAGGATGTGGGGCCCTGGACCATTTCTTCAGCATCCCTTTTCCCTGTCCCTGTGCTCCTTTAGTCCTGTGCTAAGCAAGGAAAAGGAAGTGTCTCCCCCTTCCCTCTCTTCTCCCGCCCCATCATGCTGATGTAAAGAATCTGGGAAGGGACTAACAAATTGTACAGAAACCAGGGCTCTTCAGTCCCCCATCCCCCACCCCTTGTCTGGTTCATCAAAAAGAAAGGCTTCACGTGGAAGAGAAAAAAAAACACAATGGGTTCAAATGAAAAGAATTAAAAGGGGGAGAGGTAGAGGTGTGGGGGAGAGATCTGAGGAGCTCACACATCTGTGTTCCTGAACAGCTGCCTCCTTTTGAAAGAGGGACTCGCTAGTGGGTCCGGGCTATGCCAGGGAACAGGGAGCAGTCAGAAGCCATATAAGCTGAGTGCAAATTTGGAACATTTACAACAGTGAGTTCTCCCCAGGAGCCACATCTGGCATTTGAGAGACTTAGAAAGTTAGAAGGGTCACTGATACCATAATCAGCAAGACAAGACAACTGATGGTACATTAGAAAAGTAGCAGCTGTTGCAAATCACCCTGACGGGTATCAGCCTCTTTTTATCCTTCCTTCCTCTTTCTTTCTTTCTTTTTCTTTCTTCCTTTTTCCTTCTCCTTCTTTCTTTTGTTCTTTCATTCTTTCTTTCTCCCTTCCTACTCCTCCTTTCTTTTCTTCCTTTCTTCTTTCCTTCCTTCTTTCTTTCCCTCTCCCTTCCTTCCTCCTCCCCCCCCCTCCCCCCCCCCCCCCCCCCCCCCCCTCCCCCTTCCCTCTCTCTCTCTCTTTCTCTCTCTTTCTCTCTCTCTCTGTCTCAGTCTGTCTGTCTGTCTGTCTCTCTCCCCCCTTCCTCCAATCACAAGGGCTACTGATCAGTCCAAACCCATTCTGATCAACCACAGGAGCTTTGACCTGCTTCGTTTCCAGTTTAGGCTGGCTAATCTCTCCTTAGGACACTTGGTGGTCCTTGCTCCTTGGGGCTCATCATATTATTGCAGACGCTGGATTGGTTTAGGCCACTGCAGCTGAGAACTCTTGAGCTTGAAAGGTCCAACAGTTCAACCTCCCTAGTAGCTCCATTGGGGTTTCCTTGGCAAAGATACTGGAGTGGTTTGCCATTTCCTTCTCCAACTCATTTTACAGATGAACAAACTGAGGCAATCAAGGTTAAGGGACTTGTCCAGTCTGAGCCAGTACACCCTGCCTCTCACCCATTCTTAGCATGCTTATAAAAACTGAAGCCAGCCCAGACTGCTGGGCTGGTATTTCTAAACAGGCCCTCACACTGCAGAGCTAATTATATTATCAGAAAGAGAGCAAAATGAAACCTTTGTGTGGTTTGGAAAAATAAAAGGTTCTGGAGAGTTACTTGGATAGAAATTCTCTGTATCTAAGATTGTGTTTCTATTAAATATGTCTCTGGAGATTGTCATGCAGCAGACTGTACTGCAAGTGACTGGAGGTTTCCAGATACAACACATATGAAAGAGCTTCATGATGGTAACTCTTTCACAAGGTTCATAGTGGACCGTGGCATCTTTACTTAGGCCTTCTGGGTCATTCCTTATGCTCTCAGATATGCCTGTGTCAAAGATTGCAGGACCACACATTCATTAATTAATTCTGATAGTTGGAAGTACTGTCATATCATTATAGGCTCCCTACACCTTCATTTTGTGCAGTTTTTCAAGCATAAGTAAATGTCACCCCAGTGTTTCATGCTATACATCCCTATCTCAAGACATTGTCACAGGGAAAGCCTTTTGCAGACCTTGAAGCACTATGTGCATATAAATTATTTCTACGGTTGTTTCCCTTCTTTCCTTCTACTTGGTCTTTCTTGTTGACTTAGTTGACTAGTTGACTTAGTTTCCCTGCGTATAAGACAAGAGGAGGAGGGCATGTAGAGCCAAAATGGTGGAGAGATGGAGAAACAATAGGAAAGACACAGCTTGGAGAACATTGATTCTCAGTGATACTTGACATGATTGAGAGGAGACAGGCCAGAGCTGAAGAGAGATGCCAGGGAATTCCTCTTGGTCCTGTCCTCAGGACCACTAAACAATTCATCTCAGAGGCCTCTTTCCTTAATGGAACACTGAACTAGGAAGTTGCTCACGGAGGCCTCGAGGAAAGCAATGTATCCTAAGATCCCCTGGGCCCTCAAATTACATGCTCTCTACTTGCAAACCTCCAGGTTTACAAGGTGCTTTCCCATGGATCTCGATCTATTTTGAGGATCTCATTTGATCTTCAAAATAGGCAGGACAGATCTTCTTATCTTCATCAGACAGGATGAGGATACCCTCCTATGATCTTCAAATGAGGAAACAGAGACCTGAAGTTTTAAGCAACTGGCCCAAGTCAGTTGTGAAGGGCGGGACAGGAACTCAGGTCTCTGGCATCCTCTTGTAGCAATCTTCCTATGACGCTACCCTGTCCCTTGGTCTTATCTTGCCTAACCCTCAATCACACATTTCAAAGGGTCGGATGCTTTAGAAGCAAAGTGGAACAAGTGGGAGTAACCGGGGAGAAGAAGAAAGGCCGGTGTTCCTGTCTGGATTCAAGCAATGGGTCACACGAGGGTAGGTAGGTGAGGGAGAGGCCTGAACTTCAGCTACTCAACAGGCAGGGCACTTGGGCTGGAAATAGCAACAGACCCCAGCTCCTGCCTATGTTTGTAGCCCCAAATTAGAGAGAATAGCTGAGGGGATAAAGGCAGGAAGCTGTAAGAGGTTACAACAGAGCTCAGTTTCCTCCCCTCTAGCTTTAGTTCCTTAGCCGCAGTGAAGTAAAACCCAGAAAGAGGAAGCACCAAAATGCAGGCTACAAACCTGCACTTGAGAAGGAGATGTGGGGGCAGGGGGAAATCTTCTGTGGGGATTTGCTCGGCCTGCCAGGCAATGCCACATAGAACCACAGGATTTTGAGCAGAAGGGACTCTCGCTTCATAGATGATTAAAGCAAGGCCAAGGAAGTTCAGTGACTTGCCCAGGGTCATACAGGTCCCTAAGCAACTGAGCCAGATTGGAACCAGTTTCTCTGACATCAGCTCCAACTCTTATGTGCTCATTCTCTAGCCCCACTGAGTGACATGAAAGCCTGGTGTTCTGTAGAAAGCGCACAAGTGGCATGTGGCTAGGAATTCTTGGTTGTCTCTCCTTTGCAAAAAATAAAAAAATCCTACAAATATAAACTAGCCTTATTCATTTTCAGCTCCTAATTCCCAAAGCACTTTGACTGCTGTTGTTTCATCTCATGGAGTTCTCAAGACAGCCATGTGAGAGAGGGGTGGGTACATATTATTATCCCCCTTTACATTCAGAGAAATGAAGTGACTGAGTTAGTAGCAAAACTGGGATGAGAACCCAGGCTTCCCAGATCACAATTCAGTGCTCTTTCTAGTAGGCAGCTGGGTGGTTCAGTGGATAGAGCCAGGAGTCAGGAAGACCTGAGTTGAAATCCATCCTCAGGTGACTTAACTGCTGTCTGCCTCAGTTTCCTACCTGTAAAATGGGGATAATAATAGCACCTACCTTACAGGGTTACTGTGAGGATCAGATGAGATATTTGTAAAACACTTTGCAAACCTTAAGGTGCTATAGAAACAGTGGCCACCATTATACCACACTATCTGCTCAGATTTAGAGGAGCAATACCCTTTCTGAGAGCAAACTCTCACTAGGCAAGTCATTTTCCTCTCTAAAGAACCGGTGATGCTCCCCGTGCTCGGATCAGCCATGGTCAACAATGATCTCAATTCGGTACCTTGGCTCCTAGCCGCAGCTGGTCAATGGTGTTCTCAGCCTCTGCATATTTGGTGAGCAGTCTGTGGTAGTCCTCCTGCAGCGAAAGACAGCACAGTTGGAAGTCTATTAGCCTGGGCACCAAATGGAATAGCCATATGACATGATTCTGTCTCTTACATCACCTTAGAAAGATGCTCCCTGAGTAATTACACAATAAATAGCATACCAAAGCCATGCTAAAGGACATTGACCATCCCCCAGTTCTTTAAATTTCACTGTGGTTTCATTTGCACACAGAGATTCCAGTAAGGAACTCCTACCCATGCAGACTGGCTTCCACTCTGCAATTTATGGTCTCAGATTGCTGACTGGGACATTGAGAGATTAAGTGATCTGCCCACAGTCACACAGACACAATAATATGAGTCAGAGACAGTACCTGAATCCAGGTCTTTCTGATACAAAGGTCAGTTCTCTACTGTTCTCAATTAAGAAATAATGCTTTAATCATTCCTCACCATTTGTTTTTCCTTCTGTTTATTTCATTTGTTTAGTGGTTGTAAAATGGGTCCCCTGGAAACCAAATGACCACATACCCAAATGGCTGTGATTGGACCTCAAGTTAAATGTTAACTATTTCAAGCCATGATCATTAGGTAGCATGTACATATCCAATTTATAATGTTTGTATTTATGTTGGAGTCATGGAAGAGTAGAGATAGAAGGAACCTGAGAGGCGCCTTCAACTCAGCCTCAGACTGAGGCAGGCAAGCATGGGGACCCTGAGACTCCTCTGGCAATGAAGCTGCCTCACAGTGGCCAGGGAGCCAGGAGTGGTTTACCTGCAACTGCTGCACTAGCTCTGTTGCCTGCTGAGGTGTCTTGAATTCCTTGGGCACTCTGGCCACAGTGTAGGAAGGAAGAGAAGCTTTCTGAGGGGAGTTGTCCCCACTGCTGAGCAGCACCTCCCGAACGATCTCAGCAGGGGACTTGAAGACCAGAGGTCTCGTGGGACCTTGGAACTGCCTGGAGTGGTTCTTTCCCTTGGGAGGGCGGTAGGTCTCTTCAGCTTTAGGAAACCGTACTCTGGGCTCCACCTTGGAGAAATCAGGCAATGGGTAGTTCAGCTGCCCCCGGCCATACTTGGAGACTTCAGAGGACGAGTGAGAAGGCACATTGACCCCTTTCTTGGGAGCCCTGGATTGGTTCAGCCTCTTTGGGGTGTTACTCTTTGGGGGACTGAAGGGGCAGAACGAACCACTGAATTGTGAACGAAGCGCTGCAGGGGACGCCTTCTTGGACTTCTGAATTTGGTCCAAGGGCTGGGTTCCTCCCCATCGAAAAGGAGAATTGGACTCCTCCCTCCCAAATTTATAGCCAGGACTATGGGGCATCTGGGCTTTAGAATTGGACAAGTCCTGAGAGATTGCACACCCCGTGTGGTTGACAGCTCCCATAAGGCTACCGGGCTTCTCTTCATAAGAAGAATCAGAGTTCATTTTGCCATTAGCACTTGGGGTATGTTGCAGTCCCTCTGGGGACAAACAGCTTAGGAAGTGACTCCGAAAGGATTCAGTTGGAGTAATTCTTGGGTGGCCATCACCTAAAGATGAAGCTGCCTCTGATTCTGAGGGGTACTCTGAGCTGTCACCAAACTGACCGACACTCTCAGGAATGCTGTCTGCTGATCCCACAGAATCTGGTCTCAGGTTATGCCCAGTGGGGGCATTGATGGGGTAGTTCAAGCTGTCACCAGACTGACCAATACTCTCAGAAATGCTGTCTGTTGATCCCACAGAACCTGGTCTCGGGTTATGCTCAGTGGGGACGTTGGTGGGGTACAGGATAAAGTCATATTGGCCTGAGACCCTGTCCTCCTCTTGGCCATAATGCGACCCTTCAGATTCACGCTGAGCCTCTTCCAGATTTGTGGGGCTGATGCTGTAGTCAGAGCTGAAACGGCGCTTATACACACGCTGTAGGCAGCCTTTACTACGGCATTCAATTCTCTGCGATTCTAGGAAATCCCTGGTGTCTCTGCTAAGTCCATCCTCAGCCATGTCCTGCTGATGGTCTTGCTGAGGGGACCCATAAAGAGAAGAGGTGGAATTTCCTTGGCTGTCTACATCCAGTTCATTTTCATCATCTGGAATAACAGTAATGACATGAATTATCCAAGTGTTTTAAGGTTTACAAAATGTTTCCCTTAGAATGGCCCTGTGAGGTAGGCAGCATAAGTATTATGATTCCCATTTTACAGATGGGGAAACTGAGCCTGAGAAAGAGGCTAAGGGTCTTTCCCTGACTTATAAGTAAGTAGTATTAGAGCCAGGACATGAAAAGAGGTCTTCTTATCCCAAGTCTAGTATTACCACTAAACTGCCTTGCCACACTGGGCCTCAGTTTCCTCCTCCAGAAAGTGAAGATAATAATGAGGCAACCCCTCAGCATATATCAAGATACTCTTGATGAATGGCTATAGACCATTAAAAATAGAGGAGACCTAAGACAGTAATGCATCTAAGTCCTTCACTTTAAAGACAAGGAAACTGAAACCCAGGAAAAACTTATGACTTGCCTATGGGTTACATAGCCATTTAGTTAAAGAGCCAAGAGGCTTCACCTTTCAGGTTAGGAAGTTAATGGCACTGAACTGGCCATATTTGGTATAGTGATGAAGGAGACCAGAAAGGGAGCAGAGTGGGCAAGGGAGGTCACTTGGGTCTCTTCATTTCAATGATGTCACTCTAGGCTTGGAAAGGGTCCTGTGACTTTTCTTCTCAGCACCGTTCCTTCAGGGAGACATAATGAAAGAGGAATTTTGATGCCTACAAGGAAACCTCACTTCAAGAAAAATTAAATATATGAAAATATTTATTTACCTAATAACAATAACTGATTTTTTACTGTGTTTCAAAGCTTATGAGTGCTTTACATACACAGCATTTTTTTGGTTTTTGTTTGTTTGTTTGTTTGTTTTTTTAGGCAATTGGGGTTAAGTGACTTGCCCACAGTCACACAGCTAGTAAGTATCAAGTGTTTGGTCTGAGGCCAGATTTGAACTCAGGTCCTCCTGACTTCAGGGCCGGTGCTCTATCCACTGCACCACCTAGATGCACCTACATACACAGTTTCATTTGAGACTTCTATCACCCAGGGTTGTGCTAGAACAAGTTTATATTGACTCTCAAAAGCTGGTTGTTAAATTTTTAGTGTGAACATTTATACCTTGGAAATCAGCAAATGCTACAAATCAGGCTTGACTTATTGTCCTGTTGGTTGTCTAGACTTAAGAAAGTGATGGAGAAAATGTTAATAATAATGCAAAGGAAACTTAAAATTATGTTGCACATATATTTTTTCGACAGCTAGTTGTTAAAACATTTACCAATATACTTCTGCCAACACCTCACTGAGGCAGGTACTACAGATAATAATATCCCCAACAGGCTCAGAGAGATTAAGTGATTTGCCTGGGGTCATACAGTTAGTGTCAGAGGAAGTATCTAAACCCAAGTTGTCCTGATTCCAAGCCCGTAGCTGACTCATTCAGGGATCTCTTAAGGAATCCTATGGTTAACACCATTCCTGGGGAGATGGAGCAATGGCAACTGGATGGCAGATGCCTTTATTTACAGAGTAGTCACTGGCATAACTTTCTCCTTAAAGTAAAGAAAACAAAACCTCTAACTACCTAAAAGGAAAAGAATATTTTAAGTAGAGAACTTTTCACTAAATCTTGAGACACAAGGACAAGAGATATGAGATTTGGATAGAGATAGCATGGGGACTTGACAGGTACTGGAGGTATGATTTCCCTGGTATAGGGAACTCTCAGGTAAGGAAACTCCTACCAATTCAGGCTGGCACTTTTTTCTGCAATTTATATCTTATAGAGTTGCCTAGAGCACTGAGAGATTAAGTGACTTGCCCAGAGTCACAAAACTTGTATGTGTCAGAGGTAGACCTGAACCCAAGTCTTCCCGGCTCCAAGGCCAGCTCTCTAATCATTATGCAACCCAGAAATACAAGCAATGTAAATCTTGGGCAAATGAAAGGCAGTCCCAGTTTGCTCAGTAAGAAGTAAATTTATAGAACTCAACAAATATTTATTAAATGTGCAAGGTACCTGCCCATATACAAGGCAGTAGGAGCTAAAGAGACACTCAACACGCTTTCTCCCTCAAAGAGTTTACGTTCTTCTGCGGGGGATGTGACATATGAAGAGAAGGAAATACAAAGTTGCTGGGCATAGTGGACAGAGAGTTGGCTTAAGAGGAATGATGACCCAGGTTCAAGATTTACCTTAAACATAGACTGACTGTGCTATTCTGAGCAAGTTGCTTAATCTCTCGGCATCCTAAGCAACCTTTAAAACTACAAATTACAGAAAGAGTTGCTAGTCTACATTGGCAGAAGGAGATCCCTATTTCAGTGAAAAATCACAGGTCTGGACTAAAACCAAAAGTGATTTCAAGAGGGAGAGAGCTCTAGGTGGGGGCATAAACAAAGGTCTTGGAGAGGAGATGGCCTTTTTAAGCTGTGCTTTTCCACCACTCAAGAGGTGGAATTATAGAATGTTAGTAATAGAAGAGACCCAAGTATGTAGAATTATGAAACATCAGGCCTGGAAAGGGGCCTTCAGAATCTTCTCATCCAGTACATCCCATCCCAAACTATACCTTGGATGGCAAAATGTTTAAATTCTCTACTGGAGACTCTCCCACCTTTCACAGCCCCAGGTGAGTGACTTGGAGCAGCTAAGAGACTGGGAGCTATTGAGAAGAGAAGGTCATGGGTGGGCATGGTAGGGCCAGGGTGGGAAAAGTAATCATTTTTTAAAAATTCAGTAATTTTAAGAATTAAGAATTTTTGAGAACAAAAAGTCTTGTGTACCCATACACTTTGTCATCATCAAAACAATAGCTAACATCTATTTAGCACTTTAAGGTTTGCAAAGCACTTTACATAATCTCATTTGATCTTCACCACAATCCATTTTGCAGACTAGGAAACTGAGGCTGAGAGAGGTTAAGTAACTTAGCCAGGGCACACAGGAAGTATGTATCTGAGGTGCAAGTGGAATCTCAAGTGATCCTGATGCCATATCCAACTATTTTTCCACTATACCATTTTCATGGCCATCATGGACTTGTACCAATTCATGGAATTAGAAGTTTAAGAAAACCTGGTGTGGCCCAAACTCCTCATTTTGCAGGTGGGAAAACTGAGGCCTAGAGTAGGGAAGGCATCCATCACCCATGGTTCCAAAATGGCAAATCTGGCATTAGAACCTAGACTTCAGGGGTGGGGAACCTGTGGCCATGAGGCCACATGTGGCCTTCTAGGTCCTTGGGTGTGGCCTTTTGACTGAGTCCAAGTTTTACAGAACAAATCCTTTTATTAAGGGGATTTGTTCTGCGAAGTTTGGATTCAGTCAAAAGGCCGCACTCGAGGACCCAGAGGGCCACATGCGGCCTTGAGGTCGCAGGTTCCCTACCTCTGAGTCCCTGCTCTTCCAAACTCCTAGGCTCTTTCCCCTACAGCATGCTCCTTTTTAAAACCCCTCAAAGAATAAAATAAACAAAAGAAAAAGAGAGAAGAAGGTGAGTTGAGAGCAAGAAAGATGAAGGGGAGTAAATATAAGGCAGAACCTAAGCAGCCCAAAGGCCTCACACTTCACTGGGCCTTCCTCCTGCCAGGTAGGCTCTCCCTGGCATCAGCTCTTCCCTCCTAGGGCCAGGCTGAAAATGGTCACAGAAGGCAGCTGCAAGTGTGGATCAGCTCCCAGGACTGACTTTATCACTCTCCACTTGCAGCAACTGAAGACACAGACTCTACTGTCACGGGCCATGACGTCAGTTGGGAGCATTCAGTGGCCAAATGGCTTTTATTCCATCACTTTTGGATGCTTGGTGGAAGGCAGTGTTGGAGAGCTCCAGGCAGGAATCCTAACTATACAAACCCCGCTCCAAATATTAGACTACTTAATTCCTCAATCCCAGACCACAGGGCATTGGAACTACAAGGGAGCTTAGAGACCAACTAGTCCAGTGGTTCTCAAAGTATACTGGAGGAACCCTGAAAGTCCCCAAGACCCTTTCAGGGGGTCCTCAAGGTCAAGGCTATTTTTATAATAATAACATGTTTTAATTTCTAATTTGGTAACTATTGATAGATATAACCATACGAACAAAAGCTCTTGGGCCGTCCTCAATAATCTTTAAGAGTATAAAGGGGACCAGAGGCCAAAAAGTTTGAGAACTACTGGTCTAGTCTGACTCCTTTACTTTATAGATAGGGAGAAATCCCCTGAGAAGCGAGGTGACTTTTCCACTCCTGCAAGCTGAGTCAGTCTCAGAAAAGGGGGTTTGGAGGCCTGGACCCCATTTTTTGACTCTCAATTCAGTACTCTCTCACTATTCCACAATGCTTCTGGATATGCCCTTTGAAAGATTTGGTTCTGCCTTTAATGAGGGAATCTCTAAGATATTAAGGAGTAAAATGGGGTGAGGGAAGAGAAAGACCTTGAGAGACACTGTATGCAGGGAAGGAAGGATTAAGTCTGCGGCCAGGGTAGAGAGCTAAGATCTTGGATTCAAAGCCTAAAGGCATCTGAAAGGTCACGGCTTCCTCATTTTGTAGATGAGGAAACTGAGGCCCAGAAGGTATAAATAATTTGTCCCTAAGTATCAGAGCCAGGATTCAGACTCAGGTCCTCTGATTCCAAATGCAGCTCTGCTTCCAGGGCACCTCCCTGCTAGTGCTGGAGCTCAGCAGCTCTCTGTCATTTGACCTGCCCTGGTATCTGCAGTGTTTAGCCCAATGTCTGGCACATAGTAAGTGCTTAGAAATGCTTGCTGACAGTTGGCCTGGCTTTCCTCCCAGCCCCCTTAAGAGGCAGCCTGCCTGTAGCCCAAGTCACACACTAGCTTCTCAGGCCCTACAGCTCCCTGGAGACCCCTTTCTCTCCAAAAATAGTTGCATACGGACCTTTCTCAACTCTTATAATCACAAACTCTGACCAGACTCCAAGTACCCATAAAGCTGAATGAATTCAAATGTTCTATCTGAAAAGGTCTAGAGCAGGGGTAGGGAACCTTGGGCCTCAAGGCCACATGTGGCCCTCCAGGTCCTCAAGTGCTG